CCTGCCCGCTAGGCAGTCAAGCTAACTTAAAATCCCAGCCCCACCGGCTGTAAAATCCCAGCCCCACCGGCTGTAAAGTCCCAGCCCCACCGGCTGTAAAATCCCAGCCCCACCGGCTGTAATGCGTCCCCTCCCACTAGGCAGTCAAGCAAACTTAAAATCCCAGCCCCACCGGCTGTAATGCGTCCCCTGCCCGCTAGGCAGTCAAGCTAACTCATCAAAGGTATGAGAAACACACACACACACAAATGAATACAGGAGGCAGATAGACAATCGACAGGTTCACCTTAAAAAAAAAGGCACACCGGATGAGTTAATTACCTGTCTCTAGTAGCCTTCTGGAAGCTGGAAGTGGACTCGGAGACAGACCGACACAAAACAGGAGAATAACACAGGCAACGGCTGTATTATGGAGGCGATCAGGCTCCGCTTGTCCCACTTTCCGGAGGTCTGCTCCGGTCCGTTGGTTCCGGCCCTCCGAACCGGCCCTCCGGTGTGCCCCACGTTGGGCGCCAATTGAAATGGGAAAAATCAATCAAAGTATTGATTATTTCTTTGTGTATCTGCCCCTGGCCAAATCAATGAAACAATGCGTGCACGCTCCCTGAAGTAATTCACACCAGACACAGGTTCCAGGTTGTTGAATAACTTGAGGAATGTTTATTCAGAGGGGACGGCAGGTCCCTTTTAAAGCAAAATTACATCATAAGCATTGTCAGAGATAACATGGAATAATACATCAATAATTGGTTAGGTGTTAAGTGGTTGCTCTAATGCTCTGCCTACTATAGGTGATGTCACCGGGGCCATGAGGGTCTCCCACGGTTTCCCGGCGCCATCTTGTTGCACGAGGTAGTTAGTTGGTGTTATGAAGGGAGGGAGGGGGGAAGAGGGTGGAGGGGCTAGAAGCTTCTAGCAGCCATTTTGATTAAACATGTGTGCTTAACTCTATAACATATTGTGAAATGAGTAAATAGACATTTTCTCTTAACTAGGAAATATGTGTAGACCTTATTTCCACAACAGTCCTATTCATCCTTTCAACTACCCCTGTATTCTGTGGATGATAGGGTATATGAAACTGCCAGGTAACTTGCAAGAATTTAGCAAGTTCCTGGGCAACCCCACTGGCAAAAACCGGGCCATTATCAGAGCCAATCTGCAGAGGGCAGCCATACCTGGGAATAATTTCAGTAACAATAATCTTCACTAGCATCTTCCCTAGATGTCACAAAGGCCTCATGCCATCTACTAAACTGATCAACTATGACCAGTAAGTATTGCAGTTTCTTACCAATTTTGGATACATGAATAAAATCAATCTGTAAGTGTGTAAAAAGAGCAGCGTTCACACGATCTTACAAAAGACTGTACATGCTGCCTGAGATTCCTAATATAAAATGAATTCATGAAGAATTGAATGGTGCTTGCTATGTGCCTGACTGATGAAAATAAAGCAGCTTGCTTCAAGTATGCCTATTCTTCAAGTATGGCTATTCTCCCCTCTTTAGAGAACAGATCATTTTGATCTTTCTCTAAACCTTGTTTAATCCAAAAAACAGATTGTGGGTATTTAAAAAAAAAAAAATCTCATAACCACTGAAGCGCTGGGCTGTCATGTGTTGTGTGGTGAGATTTGTCATCAGCTGAGTGACCTGGTGACTAGGATGCCCTAGTGTGATAGTAGTAGCAGTTTCAACAGCCATTGCACATGCTATCAATGCTCTGAGACATGCCGGCATACCCTGTACCGGAGCTCGAACTACTTTGGAAAAGAATGCTATGGGACGCATACCGCCTCCTTGCTCTTGTGCACAGACTGCGGCCATGGTTTTACAATTGTCCCAAGCATACAAATGAAATGGTTTACAATACACAGGTAGTCCTAAAGCCTGGGCTTGCACAATAACAACATTAAGGGCAATATATGCAGCTAGCATGTCTGGTGACCAGCAGACATTTTCAGGGCTGTCAGAACGTACAGCCTCCCTTAGGATTGAGTCATAATGGGAGCATTCAGGGATCCATTGGTGGCAGTAATTAATCATGCCGAGGAAGGTGAGCAACTCCTTCCGAGTAGTGGGTGTAGGAATCCTCTGAATGACCTCAATACGTTTTGGACTCAATTGTCTGGTGCCTAAAGCCAGAACAAAACCTAAGTATTCAACCTTTGATTTACACAATTGCATTTTGTGTTTAACAACCTTGTGACCCACAGCTGCTGACAGTATCCACAGTGCTTGCCTCATAGCTAGGGCCAGGGGCGTATTAGCCGCAAGGCAAACAAGGCATTTGCCTTGGGCGGCATTTTTCAGGGGGTGGCAAAAAACGCCGCCCCCCAAATGCCCAAGGCAAATGTCTTGTTAGCCTCGCGGCTAACAGACATTCTGGGCGCTGGGCGGCAGTGGCTGCAGCGCTGGGCGGGCGGCCGCCGAGGGAGCTCTTCCCCTGAGCGCTCTGCTCAGCTCCCTCGCGCGCCGCCAGCAGAGTGAGGCCGGGAGCCGGGTTGATGACGTCATATTCCGGCTCCCAGCCTCACTCTGCTGGCGGCGCACGAGGGAGTTGAGCAGAGCGCTCAGGGGAAGAGCTCCCTCGCCGGCCGCCCGCCCTGCAGCCACTGGACCCCAGGGAGAGGAAGAACCCCCCCAGCATTACCAAAGGTAAGGAGGCTGGGGGGGGTTAAATAAATAAAAAAAATAAAAAAACACACTAGTGAGTGTGTGTATGTCTGTTAGTGTGTGTGTTAGTGTGTGTGTGTTAGTGTGTGTGTGTATGTTAGTGTGTGTCTGTTAGTGTTAGTGTGTGTGTGTCTGTTAGTGTTAGTGTGTGTGTGTGTCTGTTAGTGTGTATGTTAATGTTAGTGTATTGTGGCAAAACCGACCTCGCCACGTGTCCTTGGAGGGGGCTGCTTGCCCGCCTCTTGCCTTTGGACTATGGCCCTGCAGGTTAAACTGTTTATTTTCCCTGCAGAAAGGCTTATTCATGTGATCTGAGTGCCATTCATCTAATAATGTGCAGTCAGATCCAAGCTATCTGGGGATATGTAGAAATGTGTGTTTTATGTACTAAATGTGTCAGTATGTAATTTTATGTCTTTTACTGTCTTTTTGTCTGCCATGTGGGTAATGGAGTTTGGCTCTGTCTTTGGAGATAATTAGATTGCTTCTCCAATTATCTCCAGGGCAGAAGGGAGGAAGCCAGGATGCATTGTGGGGATGTTTTACTTTTACTGTTTGAGCCAGGGGAAACAAAAGATACTTTTACTAACTTTTGAACCCCTGGTCTGATTCATGCCATTTTTTAATATGTTGTTCCCCTGAATGGATTGATTGTGAATATGTATTTTTATGCGAATGTGATGTATATTTTGGGAGTTATGAATGTTGTGTAAAAACTGTATTTTCCCTACCTATGATAATTGTATTTTCCTGTGTGTACAGATAATTAGTTTACAGGTAGAGGGGAGGGCTATGTGTGGGATGTAACTATTGTGTGATTGGTTAATGTACGTTACTGTGTGTGTCCCTCCCCTTCATGGGAGCACCTAATAAAAAGGGCTGCAAGCTAGCAGCCAGGGAGTTCTATTTTTACCCTCAACTTGAGTCCTGTCTCTTATTGGGGGAATCTGCTACAAGGGATTGCTATGCTAGGCATATTCCCTTGCTATAATCACTGAGCTCTTGTAAGAGCTTGTTCCTGCTTCGTTCTGAAGGGAGATAGCTGCAGCCTGCGGTGCTTATGGTGTCTGGTGGAGTGCTTGGAGTCCTCTGGAAGCGCTAGGAGCATCTTTCAACGGAGGTACCCAGTCGGGGTGCCAGGTGATCCGTTACATGTATGTATGTTAGTGTGTGTCTGTTAGTGTTAGTGTGTGTGTCTGTTAGTGTTAGTGTGTATGTTAATGTTAGTGTATGTATGTTAGTGTTAGTGTGTGTGTGTCTGTTAGTGTGGATGTCTGTTAGTGTGTGTGTTTGCCTGTGAGTATGTGTGTCTGTTAGTGAGTGTGTGAGTGTGTGTCTGTTAGTGTTAGTGTGTATGTTAATGTTAGTGTATGTATGTTAGTGTTAGTGTGTGTGTGTCTGTTAGTGTGGATGTCTGTTAGTGTGTGTGTTTGCCTGTGAGTGTGTGTGTCTGTTAGTGAGTGTGTGAGTGTGTGTCTGTTAGTGAGTGTGTGTTTCTGTTAGTTAGTGAATGCGTATCTGTCAGTGAATGTGTGTGTGTATTTAGAAGGCGGAGCAGGGGGGAAGGTTGGGTGGCGGTTGCGCGGGTGGGGGTGGCGCGGGGGGGGTGCCTGAGTTTTGTCCTGCCTAGGGCAGCACAAAACCAGGATACACCACTGGCTAGGGCTACATAACAACAAATCATCAACATTTTGCAAAAAGGACGGAACCATGACCGGTGGTCCATGTTTTTTTTTTAGAGTATGTTGGAGTACCAGCGAATAAACAGCTGGGGAATCCACATAGCCTTGGGTAAGCGTGTCCAGGTAAACTGACAGCCTTCAAAAGTAAAAACCATAAGTAGCTGTGTCTCTTGATCAATAGGTATAGAAAAAAATGCATTACTTAAATCAATGACAGTGAAGCAAGTGGCATCATGTGGAATGGCTGTAATGAGGGATGTCACATCGGGGACAATGGGTGAAATGGGCACAATTAAACTATTCAGGGCTCTAAAGTCCTGAACTAAGCGATATGCTGGCCAGTGGTGTTGGGAGTGGGTCTGGTGTTGTTCTTGCCTACAGGGCATATTTTGAGAAAGGTGGGGTTGTTGGGGTGTGTGGGGTTTCCTGGGGTTTCCTGGGGTGTGGACACTCATTCCTCCAGTGGCCATATTGGCCACAGTTGAAACAAGTGTTCCTGTCTATTCCTCCTTGGTTACCCCTATAACCCTGATTTCCCTGTCTCCATCCCCTTGCCCCTCTTTGACCACCCCTTCCACGGGCTTTATGTGCTCCATCCCATCCACGCTCTCAGCCTGTGTAGGTGGACAATGTTGCAATCCCTGAGCATAATAAGCAACCTTACTTTCCTAAATCTTTTCTTAAGTCAAAACAACCTGCATTTTCCTTTTCTATAACCTTGGTAAGAAAATCTGAGCTATCCAAATTGGCCCAGTCTGAAATCAATTGTTTCACAAGCAATGAATACTATGGCAACATATTACCAAGGCATGACTGTATTTTAAAGAGATCTATATCATCTCCAGACATCAAACCTGCCTCATCCTTCCAACACTTGTAAAATTTCTTTACAAAAATCATATTACCAATCTCTTCCTTTGCATCCTGCTTATATGCCAAAGCAGTGAATATAGACTGCTTATTCTTCCATAATCCCAACATTTCAGCTTCCACCTTGTTCCAAATTTTAGCACATCTTACTGAAGTACTAAGCTCATAATCACCAATTCATTTCAAACCATATAACTCATACTCAGCATCCAATGTAATATTACACGTCATCTCACAAAGCAATATCTTTGTAGAAACACATAATGGGTACCCAGCAGATATGCCAATACAGAAATCACATTTATGGGCACACAACTACACACTCTGTCTCCCTCCTAGGAAAAACGGATAGACACAATATAAAAGCAATCTTAAACTAACACCTGGCCATAACGCTAGTATTCAACAGCTAATAAAACAGTTATTTGCTAGGTTATTTGTCTGTCATTCTTATCAGTATCACTAGACTGTGACAAACTGATTCACATATAATTTAAAACAATACAGCAACATATAAATTAAACCACTTTCAAGTTAAACTGCACACTTCACACATTATCACAATCACCATTTACGCAGAATAAACAGTTAACAGCTGTATTCAGAACATATTATTGGAAGGTATACCAATTTTAGTTTAGATTTATTTTAGGGATTCTTATGTATACATTTTCTTAATTAACTTCATTACTTTAATCTACTATAGTATTATATATAAAGAAAGGATCCATTTATATAGCGCGCTCATAACTCAACTATTTGTATAAAACTTCCATTAACTAATCTGAGGTGATACTGCATCAATTTAAATCTTATAGAAATTGAACAAACATCTGGACCAGATTAAACAGACATGGTTTCACCTGAATCTTTCAGAACTCTCAGAGACTTAAAAAATTTATACTATACCATGTTCTAAGGCATGGCAAACCTTTAGACCGGTCAGTCTCCAAGAGCCCTTAGTAACACAGGTAAAAACCTTTTGTCCATGATGTCTGATTCAGGCTATATACCACAATTTAAAAATAACACATAATGTGAGACATAGAAGACACAAGCAGTAGTTATTACACTGGATCATTTAAAAGGAACCTGTCGCAATAAAAAGGTTAGTTTACAGTGCAAAATAAAGCATGTGTTGGACCGCTGAAAATGTAAATGTTGCTCTGTTATTTTCAAACATAAAATTATATTTACAGTATGGATCCTTTGCAACAAACATACAGGGCAGGGAAGATGTGCTGATTGGTGTTTCTATACAATTAATCCCATATGGGGAATTAACTTTAAAATACTAATGAAGTGACTTTTTGTCTCAGTTATAAAAAATACTGAGCTCATCATGCAAACAATGCAACACATTTACACTATCCCACTCTCATAATAAGTGTAGTGGGCTTATGGTATTTTTAAAGCAACAATCATACCAGGCACATAGATCCCATGTGAAATAACTTACAATAAAACAGAGTAATAAACTTATACTTCTATGCGACAAGAAAGAATAAAGAAAAAAGATTTAAGTAGGTCTATCAGGTACAACCTGTGAGTCATTTCTTTTCTAATATACAGTACTGCTATCTTGCAGAAAGATAAGTCCTGCGCTCACTCCCATCACTACTGGGCAGCAGCAAGGACTACAGTACACATCAGCCCCAATATATGGTAAAAACCAAAGAAAAACAAGTTACCTGCATTCTCTCCTTAATCCCTATGTATTTTTAAAACCTCCATTTGTTTAACAGTACTGCTATCTTATATATACATACATATACATATACACACACATATATACATACATACATATATACATACATATATGGTCACTCAGGACCTGAACTCACATTTCCCATACTGCTGACTCAAAGTGGGGACACTACTAACTTACCAAAGTGTGTCCCCAATATAGACAAACAATCACCCACAAAGAACACTTAAGACAAACAAAAGGTGACCGGGAGAAAGAGAAGTTTGGGGTATACTTATAGATCTATAAACCGTGCTGCTCAGAACACCTATAGACTTAATAAACCAGAGACGTCATATGGACTCAAAAACCTGTATCTACCTGAGATACCCTGTATCTATCTTAGATACTAACCTGGGTTACCAAAACCCTATATATTTAGACCAAATGTCTAATAAACCGGAGACCTCTTTAGTCTCAATATAAACCGGAGACCTCTCATGGTCTCAATATAACTAGAGTCCTTACACCTTTCCTATCTACTGGATACAGACTTACTGAACCAAAGGGGGGTCATAGACAATCAGCGTCAAATAAGACACAAAAAGGCTACTCACCGCAATGTTTTTACTGATCCATCCATCTATCCCACTTCTGACACCAAGCTGAAAGGGTTAATGCTGTAATGGACTCTAATCCCCTCGGTTCTCGATCCCTCGGTCACCATAATCAAGTTGATGGAGAATCATTGTCAGCAATAAGACACGGACAACAGCATACTTGACAAGACTCTCAAATGAGTGTATTCCAGAGCTGGCTTTTATACATAGTTTGCTTACATTAGCCATGGTATATGCAAATACAGTACAGACTATAAGATTTATTACTTCCTTATATTACATGTTATTCTGACAATGGAAAGATAAGCTTTTGCATACGTCTGGAGAAAAGTATCCTGAAATCGGAATGGGCAAGACATCCTGAAATTTAGCATTGTCTTACATCCTATAGAAGAAATACCTTAGTCTGTCACAGTCAGCATATTATGTCGTACATTGAGTTTAACTATTTCATATCCTTTCAGCAATAATATTTATAAACCTTATAAATGCATAAAATACATATGAACAAGTTAACTATTTCATATTCTTACATGCCCCTGGGATGTATTGACCTTTAAGGAACTGATTTGGGGCTTATGAACTTGTATTGGACTGTGTATGGCCCTTTAAGAACTGTATTTGGGCATAATGGATTTTTATTGTGCTATTTCTGGCCCTTTAAGTACTTTGGGAAAGGACCTGCAGTTTTGGATGCAGCCGAAGTGCCTGCCATTAGAAAACCGAAAACACATGGTGGCGGCGGCCATTTTGATTCATTCGAATGCAGTCAGCGGTGTGTGCCGTCAAACTCATGGAACTACAATCGGCTACAGAACGGCATGAACACCGCTGAAGTTTTACCTTCCCTGGAACTAATGCAATAGACAGTTCGACAATTCGAATGGTTGTCGTTCGTCTGTGTGAACTGACTCTAACATGGGAAATAGACCGGCTGCACAGCCTGATTCTCTGGAACAGTTTTGGGCATGAAAATGTGCTTGCGGTCGGTCAAAGGTGACATATCTATCTCCCGAACGGCTGAACTGATTTGAATGATTTTTGGGTATGTTTGTATTTGAAATATGCTGATTAATAATATGTGACTTTTATTAATATTGGATGTATAGGTGTAGAGTTATGAAAGTTGGGTAAAAAGTATGTTTTAAACTGTACGGCTAATTGTGTTACCTCTCAGGCTAAGGGGAGGAGATGTGTGGGATGTAACCAGTGTGTGATTTGGTAATTCATAATTGTCTATGGGCGTCTCCCTTGCACAGGAGAATTGCATAAAAGCAGTGTGTGTGTCATTAAAAACCTGAGTTCAACTTCACCCTCAATTTGGAGTGCCGTCTCATATTGGTGGAATCTGTTACAAGGGATTGCTATGCTAGTCATACTCACTGCTAAACTCTTGTAAGAGCTTGTTCCTGTTTGCTCTCTGAAAGAGTCTATGGTGGTTATGGTGTCTGCTGGAGTACTGGAAACCCTCAGGAAGCGCTATGAGCATCCGTCAACAGAGGTACCCAGTCGGGGGGGCCCGTCGATCCGTTACAGGCATGATCTCCCTGAAGTAAATCCATGTTGTCTCTGATCTTGAAATCCATGTGTTTTTAGATGTTCAACAATCCTATCCTTTAACATGCTTTCCATTACTTTCCCCACTACTGAAGTAAGGCTTACTGGCCTATAGTTTGCCGACTCCTCCCTAGTACTTTTCTTGTGAATGGGCACAACCTTCGCTAACTTCCAATCTTCTGGGACTACTCCTGTTAATGACTGGTTAAATAAATCTGTTAATGGTTTTGCTAGTACACCACTAGCTCTTTTAATAACTTTGGGTGTATTTCATCAGGTCCCACTGACTTATTTGTCTTTACTTTTGAGAGTTGAAATAAAACCTCTTCCTCTTTAAACTCACATGTAATAAATGACTCAATTGTCCTTTTTACTACCTGAGGTCCCTTTCCTTATTTTTCATCTGTAAATACTGAACAAAAATATTAATTGAGGCAACCAGCTAGACCTTTATCCTCTTCTACATACCTTCCTTCTTTTGTTTTTAATGTAACTAATCCTTGTTTTACTTTGCTTTTCTCATTTATGTATCTAAAAAATGTATTGTCCCCTTTTTTACTGACTGTGCTATTTTCTCTTCTGTGTGTGATTTGGAAGCTCTTATAACTTGCTTAGCCTCTTTCTGCCTAATCTTATAGAGCATTCTGTCTTCCTCACTCTGTTTTTTTTACACATATTCTAATTTTAGAAAAGTCAATTTTTTTTTAAGTCTAAAACTTTTGTTTTTGTGTGGTGTGACTCAGTCACTGTTCTTATATTAAACCACACTGACTGATGATCACTGGATCCTAAACTTTCACCTACAGTAATATCTGATACCAAATCTCCATTCGTTAACACTAAATCTAGTATGGCCTCCTTACGAGTTGGCTCCTCAACGACTTGTTTTAGAGACAATCCCAGTAGGGAGTTTAGAATATGTGTTCTCCTGGCACAAGCAGCTAGTTTTGTATTCCAATTCACATCAGGAAGATTAAAATCACCCATGATGATAACTTCACCCCTTCATTGTCACTTTAGCTATTTCCTCAACTATTATATTATCTAACTCTATTTGTCCTGGGGATCTATAAATCACACCTACACGACTTACTGTGTGATTACCAAATTCTAACGTAAACCCAAACGGACTATTATTAGGCTAGATTTTATGCTATCCTTCACATACAGGGCCACCCCTCCCCTTTTCTTGCCTCCCCTGTTTTTTCTATATAAAAAGAGTACCCTGGTATTGCTATGTCCCAGTCATTCTTCTCATTATACAATGTCTCAGTAACAGCGACTAAATCTACATTATCAGTTGCCATTATTGCCACAAGTTCATGGATCTTATTCCCTAAACTGCGAGCATTTGTAGACCTGACTCTAAGCTTATCATTTTTAACACACTGGCTAAAGGTACCTTCTGTCCTTGTTTTGGAGGGCAATTGGATTGATGTTTCATCACCCTTTTGCCCCTCCCCCCTCCTAATTTAAATACATCATAGCAAAACCTCAGAACTGCTCACTGAGAACATTTGTTCCCTTTTGAGAAAGATGCAAACCATCTGTTTTGTACAGTTTATTTCCATTCCAAACAGAGCTACCATGAAAAATAAAGCCAATTCCTTGCTCCTGACACCATTCACCAAGCCACAAGTTAAAGTCCATAATACGCATCCGCCTGTCATTCTGAGTGTTATGCACAGGCAGAACTTCAGAGAATGACAGTATGGAAGCAACCTGCTGTATATCATTGGCAAAAACACTAAAAACTTCCTTAACCTTTGAAACCTCATTGCAAGCCAAGTCATTTGTCCCTAGATGGACAAGTACATTCAATTCCCCTTCCTGCTTTGCTCGCTTAACAATATTACAAATACGTCTGTCTCTGTGAGCTGTAGCTCCGGGAAGACATCTCACAAGACCACCATTGTCCATCCCCCAACAACAACTGCTTTCTATTAGGCCTCACCACAGTCTCCAAGCCTGTCTCCACAACACCACTACCCTCAGTGCCTGAGCCTGTCTCCACAACACCACTATCCTCAGTGCCTGAGCCTGTCTCCATAACACCACTATCCTCAGTACCTGAGCCTGTCTCCATAACACCATTACACTCTGAAAGTGGAGAAAATGAATTATGTAGAGTAACAGACTCTGCAATATGCCTTTTATCCACAACTCTAAGTCTAACAGATCCTACAGTAATCCATCTGCCATTCCTAGGACGTCTCTGCGGCAGTGGCTTTGCAGCAGTTCCAGACAGAGTTTGTTTACCAGATAATTTACAAATCTCAGACTTCAAAAATACAATCGTCTGCCGCAATATAGAGAACTGTCTACAGATTAGACAGCATCCAAATCTCCAAAAAGTGGAACGTGAAACAAATGCAAAACAACTATACCACTGAACTAAGTCTGCTATTTCAATGAGGTGAATAATTTAAATTAAACAAATCTTACATTTTTTTTTGTCCTCCTGAATACCTCAGATTACCTTCAGTTTATCTCCAGAATATCTCCAACCACACACTTAGAAGCATCACTCTCCAGAATATCTCCAACCACATACTTAGAAGCCACACTTAGATGAAGCAGCCAAGCTAATGACAACAACCCTTATATAACTCCTAAAATCACCACCCACTAGGAATGTTTAACACCTGGGTAGGCCTATGATTATTTGCAAACAATAGCTAATTAACCAGCAATCAATTGCAAGTACCTAAGTAATCTAATCAAATGCCTTAAAAATTACCAACAGGAAATCAAACCTTGTGCAATCAGTAACCTTTTCTTACAGATGAATCTTCCCTGTACCAGTAAAAAAGAAAACTCTTAGCAAAATTGTAGACAGTTGAAGCTTCTGTAAAACTCTCCAGAATATCTCCAACCACACACTTAGAAGCGGCACTTAGATGAAGCAACCAAGCTTCATCAAGCTCTCCAGTGTATGTTAACAATTTCTATAGCATGAAACTCCAGAAACCTTGGGTCCGATCCATGTTTCTCCATAACATTTTTAGACATACTATGATTGACGAAGCCATTGTGTTTCTGGAGGTTCATGATATAGAAAAGGTTAAAATACACTGGAAAGGTGGTGACATTGCACAGAAGCTTAGCAGACAAGAAATAAAGTTGATTTTTTTTACTTTAATCCCAAAAGGTCTTAATATTGATTTTGAAATAAGTACCATTTTATAATTTTTATTGGGATTTTTTTTTTAGAGGTTATTTACAGTTTTGTTACGTGTCCTTTTATATATATGAGTACATGTATGTTTATGTATATATGTGTATAAATGTTATGTACATATGCATATATGTCTATATAAGATTCTATATGTGAACATGTTTATATTTTTATATGTGCTTATTTTGTATTTGAATATATATTTTAAATACTTTTTAATTGTTATTATGTTATATACTGCTATTCACTATTTTTTCCACTTTTGCCAAATCCAATATGGCGTTCCTCACTTCTATGGGCACTATGAACGTTCATGTGAGACCATTATGAACTTTTGCTAGCTATTTAGCTTGAACACATATCGACAAATGGACACGTTAATAAGGCTGGAAGCTAGCCTATCGGATGAGACATCTCCTCTGAAATACGCATGCTCTATAAACCTATGGAGAATTGGAATTAAACGAGTGCCGTCGGAACCGATATAAAGACTGCCCATGTACAAGACGGACGCCTGAAACTATCAATTGGAGTTTGCCGCATCATGACACGACGGACAGACATTTTAGTTGTGTCGATTTCTCTTCTTTGTTTGGCCGAAACCGGATGAGCCGCCACATAGGGGGAGGCGGACTACATCGGGTCCGGACCATATTAGGAAGTTTTATCATGTGTTTTAATTACTACATCTGTTATACGTTATGTTTAAGTAATTTTAGGGTATATAAAGCCTGTTATGACAGTTGTTAGGTAGATTTCACCTGAGGAAGACCTCTTTTAAGGTCGAAACGCATTGTGCAATTTTTTTTATGTTTTAACTACTATTTCGAATAAACAACTTTTATATCGTCTATTTGGTTCCTGGTTCGAATTTTACTTGGAAAATTCAAAGTTGCAGTGATACACCACAACTATCCTAATTGTGGATGACATGCCTTTACAGTTCAGAGCCACTCTTTAAGGGTTCTGTAAAGTGTGAGTGTTCCATTTTTATCGAAAAAAAAGGTAGATACTATTAACAAGTACCTAATGGATTTCTCCTATGTGGGTCAACTTCACAACAAACTAAACTGAAAATAACGAGACAAGATTTGATCCCCGTCTAGTGATCGGAAATATTCAATTCATTCAAGGATTACCTGCAATTCATCTTTTGTTGTTTATATACTCACCTGCTCTTGTGGCTTACTCTATGTAGGACAGACAAGTAGAACACTGAAAATGAGGTTTAGGGAACATAGACTTGCAATTCTACATAACGATAAAAAAAATCACCGGTGGCTAGACATTTTCAGGCAGTACATTATAGCAACCCCAAACATATCTCAGTGATGTGGATACAACTTATCTCATAAAAGAATTCTACTATAAATAGGAAATGAGCCCTTATTACAGCTGAAACAAACTGCATTTGCAGGCTCAACAGTCTTAATCCATATGGACTAAATGAAGATGTCCATTCTTTCCCTCCCCTCTTTTACCTGAGAATCTCTCCCTCTCCAGACATATACTAAGGTGAAGTACTTGTTAGACCTTTGATAACGTTATTTGGTGTTCATTCTATACAGATTCATCTCTGTTATACAGGGTCTCCCTACCGGATAATAAGAACTATACTGTTTTGATGTCTATATGAAAGTAGAGACTTAATGTTGGCTTTGTCTTTATAGTACCTTAGGGCTAGTCTTGGATGATTAGCGTTTTATTATTGTCACTGATTTATGACGGATTTAACACAGCGTACGTTGTCCGTGAATTGCTAAGTTTCTGAACCTTGTTTTTATGTGTTTAAATTGTATGAAGAAAGATTTTATATTTATTGGATGTTTTAAGCATTATCTCAGGATACTGATTGAATTTGATGCAGGGTTATAGAAATATATTAATTTCTCTGATGTTTTCTCTGCCTAATATTACCAATAATCAGTGTAAAATCCCTTTGTTTGACTATTTACTGTCACTTTAAGAGCGGCCAGTTTGCCGAAAAGTTACGTCATGAGTTTATTTTTAATTAGATCTGAGTACTGGTGTATATATACCAATCAAATCCTTGGAGGATTGCAGTCTTGATAAAGTCTTTAAGTAAGACTAAACGCGTAGATTGAACTTATTGTTTTACTTAAAATTCCAGCTTTCATTGATTGTAACATGGATTACGGCATCTCAACTAACTACTTGCCGGAAATTGATCAAGTTCACCCAACATCGGGTGGGTGTGGACCCGCGTGCTCCTCTACCCGGCTTCTGGCGCGGCAAACAGGATAATAATCCTGGGATCCTCCCAGAGCTTTTTCAGGCTTGCAAGTCCTTTCCCAGCACACCTTTAGCAGTGCCACCATAGCCGGGGTTTTGTTTCACTGAATCGGACATTGTTACCTTTTGTTACATATTTCCATACTTTAGGTTGTTGGTATTCAGAGGGCAATCTATATATTCGTTTTCATGATATTTCTGATACAATAGCTGTTTTAAATGGTTTTACTCTCAGACATTAATAGATGCTAAGGATTGATCATTTTTCATGTTCTTTATTATATAGATTGTTTGGATCTTGTTTCTGCTGGAATATATTTGAGTTCTTTGGCGCACTCACATACACATATGTTTGATTTACCGCTCGCTTTGGTGTTGCGAAGCAGCCCATTCATAGTTTCAAGTAATTATTTATTAATTTTATATCACCTCTTGCTATCTTTTAGTTACCGATGAGTTTATCATTTATTGTTTATATAAAAAATAGGCAACTAAATAGTTGGATATCTCTTTAAACAATCGGCAAATAAGTGGTTAGGTGTCAATTGCAATATGTAACCCAGGTATGTACAATGAAAGTGGCACCTGTATCTTGCAAACCAGGGCTTTATGGGTGCAGTTTGCCTCATTATTCCTGCAAGATACTATGAGTCATAAAAAGTTTAACCGGTTCATGCTGGCCATTTTCAACAATATTCATGAAATCTTAAACTCGGCTGTGTAAGAAGGGAAATATCTTTCTGTGGCTGTATCAATGAGAACAAATTTGATAATAGGGATAGGTATAATCTGTAAGTACAGCGTCTGAGCTAAATATAAACCCTTCATTGATTGTGTGTCTTATATTCACGATACTAACTCCATAGGAATAAGTTTAATTAGCAATGTTGCCGTGCTTAAAGTATAATGATAGTATATTTGTGCCTAATCTGTGTAATGCCAGCTTAGTCAAGGTGTTTAGATGTTAATCAGGATTTCTCACATGGAGAGGGTTAATAAAAATCGGCTAAGTTGTGTTGTGACAGGTAAATCAACAACACGGCCATTGTATTTCCTCACAGAAGTGGCAAATGTTACAGAGAGCTAGATATGTTTTGCCCTCTAATAACTTCCACAACAGACTGACTGCAAAGTTTATTTGTACAGTGTATCAGTTCATAGATACATAAATAATGTGTTATTTATATCAATCTATCAAGCTGTGGATGTGGTTTAGTAAACTAAGCTGTGCATTTGTGAAATGCAATAGCGAAGTCTCTCACATGTATTGCAAAGGAATTAACAGGGTGAATGACTTGAAAACATCAAATATATATTCAAGTCAAAATAGTTATAGTGCTGCTGTGTGGTTTTGTTGATGCATGGGGAAAGTGGAAAACTGAACAGGCAATCTAATATGAAATCAGAGGCTAGAATAAGTTAGAGTATGGAGAGGATATATATAGAAAATATGTGGGACTATGGATGTTCCCATAAACTAAGTCCCTATCAACTTGTGCCTTCGAGGGTGCCCCTTAAATAAAGCCTCAAACAACTCCACTTGCTACAGGAAATAATTGACCACCCTCGCGGTTGGCTGGATAAATGATAATAGCCATTTTTAGTAAATAGTTATTTTTATTGTATCACTGTTATATTTATGTATACAGGTTACACTGTGGTTCCTCTGTTTTGTATTTATATGATTTAGCGTTCTAGCAAGAAAAAGACCCATCACATTTAAAGGTAAAGAGTTTTTACAGTGTGCACTTTGACACTTTTTTCTGTGGTATTTCTGATTTTATATTAGTGCACTTGGTGACAATACAGTTGGAATGTTTTTAGGCTGCTCTTTTATTATTTGGTTGGAGCGCCCAATATCCCTTATATTTAACTTTTTTCACATAGTGGAAAACCGACATACCGCAAGCCTCTCAGATAGGCATAGGGTGATCAGCAGGGACTATTCTGGGGACTTGCCTTATTTAAAAGAGCAATTCTGCAGTTTGTTGGAATTTAATTTGAGATTATATATTTCAACACCTTATTATAGTTTGCTTCTTATTCCTTTGTGCCTACACTGGGCCCCTACTCTTGTTTCTATTTGCCATGGGTTGAGCGAGCCGCTGAACCTGACCTTTACTTTAGGGACTGTGGATCTACAGTAGTCTAGCATACTAGCCTAGCATAATTTACTCTACTGCAATATCTTTGCTAGTAACATACCTATATCATTGTATACTCGTGTCTTTGTTATGTCTACACAAACAAAAAAGTTCAGCACTTCTTTTGACGTTTTCTACTACTTCTGTTTCGTTTATTGACAAGCCTATATTTGCAAAACTGTCATTGTAATCTTGTTTGACTAACTATACATTTCAAAAATAAATGTTTAAAAAAAAAATTGACTTTTTAAAATCAGTATGTAACCATAACATTTTACAACTTCAGAACATCAGAAAATTCCTATTTTGTGTGAGTTCTCTTATGGCCAACAAGGTGTGAATGCTGCCGAAAACATTTCCCACATTCAGAACATGGGAACGGCTTCTCTCCTGTGTGAGTTCTCTGATGTGCCATAAGTTCTGATTTAGTTCCAAAACATTTCCCACATTCAGAACAGGAGAACGGCTTCTCTCCTGTGTGAGTTTTCAGATGTGAAGAAAGGTTTGATTTAGCTGCAAAACATTTCCCACATTCAGAACATGAGAAAGGCTTCTCTCCTGTGTGAGTTCTCAGATGTACAACAAGGTATGAATGCAGGCTAAAACATTTCCCACATTCAGAACAGGAGAACGGCTTCTCTCCTGTGTGAGTTCTCTGATGTGCCTTACGTTCTGATTTAGTTCCAAAACATTTCCCACATTCAGAACAGGAGAACGGCTTCTCTCCTGTGTGAGTTCTCTGATGTGCCTTACGTTCTGATTTAGTTCCAAAACATTTCCCACATTCAGAACAGGAGAATGGCTTCTCTCCTGTGTGAGTTCTCTTATGTTTAACAAAGTATGAATGCTGGCTAAAACATTTCCCACATTCAGAACATGGGAATGGCTTCTGTCCTGTGTGAGTTCTCTTATGTCTAACAAAGTATGAATGCTGGCTAAAACATTTCCCACATTCAGAACAGGAGAATGGCTTCTCTCCTGTGTGAGTTCTCTTATGTCTAACAAAGTATGAATGCTGGCTAAAACATTTCCCACATTCAGAACAGGAGAACAGCTTCTCTCCTGTGAGAGTTTTCCGATGTGCCATAAGGTTTGATTTAGTTCCAAAACATTTCCCACATTCAGAACATGAGAACGGCTTCTCTCCTGTGTCAGTTCTGTGATGAAAAACAAGGTTTGAATACTGGCTAAAACATTTCCCACATTCAGAACAGGAGAACGGCTTCTCTTTTGTGTGAGTTCTGTGATGTATAATAAGTTCTGATTTAGTTAAAAAAAACATTTGCTACATACAAAACATGAGAACGGCATCTCCGCTGTGTGAAGCCTAACAAGAGCTGAGTGATGGGTAAAACATTTCTCACATTTAGAACATGTGAATTTTTTTGTTTACTAGCTCATTTGTAGACATATAGGATTCAGAGAGTTTGAATACTTGATCCTTGGAAGATTGCTTCATAATCTTGCTTTGTGCATTCTTAGTTTTGTCATGTTCTTTGGGATAAATTCTACTGGCGGAAACACCTGAAAGAAATGTACTGAGAGTTAAAGAAAATGTGTCACTTTCAGGAAATACTAAAGTCACCAAAACAACTTGAAGACATTTTTGTATATAGATCATGCTTCTGAAGCCTCAATGCTCAATTCTCTGCCGTTAAGCAATTAAATCACTTGTGTTTCCGTCCATCCAGCCCTAGACACACTCACCCTCGCTCTGACTGACACAGTATGCATGAAAAAAAAGGTTTCATTTTCAATCAGACAGTACCTTACTTTAAAAGTATCTATAGATTGCATTTTCATCACACACAGAAGGCTTATGCAGGGTGTTCCAAGTCATTAACAGAGCAGGAGAAAAGCTATTTGAAATAAAACAGAATTTGCAATAAAGGAAGTGTAAATATTAGATGACTCTTTACAGGAAGTGTTTAGGAAGGCTGTGCAAGTCACACACAGGAAGGTGTGACTAGGGCTGCTTCTAACCTTTCTGGCTAGGAATAGATGTTCTTAACTACATTATACATTATACTTCCGGAATGATTACCATCTTGTAGAATGGGAGAAATCAATAGTTTCTCTCATATGACTCTCAGCATTACATTAGCATTGTAGAGATTGTTATAAAAAAAATATTTAAAATTCCTTAAATTTTTTTAAATGTGATTTATCTGTATGTAGGCATAAAGGTAAGCATTTTTTTACATTCTGTTATTATTATTTTTTTTAATCTGAACTACCAGGAATGCCACTGGGGTCGTTGCAAGTACTTGCAAACAGCAGATGTGACAAAACCAGATAAAAACGGTCAAATGTCCTGATTGTAATGAAAATTGTATTTTGTTGTTTGCATTCTTTACAAATATTTCAAACACAGTGTAAAAAAATTGTCTAAAGGTTTCACTTCCCAAATAGCTCTATAAAGGATGAAAGAATAAATGGGTTTTTTTAACTTATAAAGTGCTTAATGTAATGTAGGGGTTAAACAAACAATGTGTTTAACCCCTGAAAAGGAACACTAGTGTCAGGAATAAAACTCATGTATTCCTGACACTATACATCTGAATGTGGATGTTATCTCCCCAGCCCCACTGTCAGCAAAGTAAAAGGTCAGTTTACTCACCTTCTTATCCAGTGCCGCATGGGGCTCCTTGCGGGGGGCCCTGCCTCCTTGGCTGAGATAATCAAATTTGATTATCTCAGCCAATCCAATGCTTTCCCATATGAAAGCATTGGGAGGCCATTGTGCATGAGCATCAAAGTGCTGTGCTGCACCTATCAGCATCTCCTCATAGAGATGCATTGAACCAATGCATCTTTAAGAGGAGCATTCAGCACCTCCATGTAGAGCGTGGAGACACAGAAGGAACTGTATGAGTGACGGCCACTAAAGGTGCTATTAGGCAGTCATGTAAACTCTGGCTTTAATGGAGTGGGTGTTATGGGCATATGCAAATATTACAAGTTTTTAGAATGAAATTTGATATTTTTAAATGTCAGAACACCACTTCTGATGATGTCCGCAGACAGGACAGAGACAAACAGGGGCAGAGGCAGCAGGTGCAAACAAATAAGTAAGTCTTTACTATAATTAGGGAGGCAAGAGGAGGCAAGGGGGATAATTTCCATATTGTCAGTTACACTTGCTGTTAATTAAAAATCAGGAATTATAACAGCATACTATTTGGAGTCTGGGATTTCCAGCCAAGGTCGCTGAACAGTGGTTACAATAATGACCTTGTTTACTCAGGTACATACTTTAGTCTATTGCAATGGCAGAGTGATTAAAGTCCACAGTTTTAAAAGGAGAGCTTCATTAAGGCAGTGGTACTATACCACTATACCTGCAGTGGTAGCAGTAAGGACATTAGAGCAATGATACTGTACGGTACTGACTGTAATCAGATCAGACACGTAATCTCAGTGGATTACTCTAGAACAGGGGTCGTCAACCTGGTCCCTACAGCCCACTAGTGGGCTATTCAGGCTTTCATGTGGACGGTGTGAGTTCTGCAGAAAATCCCTGCTGGGCCTCAATGCAGAGTCAGCCCTGCTGTAAGCCCTCTCAGGCAGGTGGGGAGATCAAAGATCTCCCTCACCAGGCTGCTGGCATTTAGTTCCAGCAGAGGGAGGGAAGGGCCTTGTTCCTCCCGTGAGCCTGCTGGTCGGAGTGTTGCCGCAAGTTACCATGGCAACACTCCGATACAGTGCTTTGCTCGTCAGAGGACAGGAGAGCCAGCCTGCAGCTGGAGGAGCTGCAGGCTAAAGTGAACATGCCATCACTGGACCACCAGGGCTTGCAGCATTATGCCCCCCCCTCCCTGGTGAAAGGTAAGAAGAGGAGGAGGAGACATTAAAATCGATTTTCACTCACCTACATACCACTACACCCCTCCCCCACACAAACACACACATACATTGCACCCCTCACACACAAAATGGAAAAAAAAAATTAGATACATTTAAGTACATATTTTATTGAAAAACCCTTTCTAAAAAAAACAAACAAAAAAAACCAACCAAACGCACTTGCGCTAAAATTTTGATCGATAGGTATCAAAATAGCAATGTTGTTTTTCTTTGAATCAAAAGAATATATAAATATACAGACTAGGCAATAAGAGCATTTACATGCTGTAGCAGGCTGCCAAGAACTGCATTTTTTTTTTTTTTTTAAGTTTCAAAATCTAGAAAAAAGCCCACAACTAACCATACATAATGGGTAAAATAATTGCTTCTATAAAAGCTATATAAATACTGTGACAACCCTGTAATTTCCCTTGCCCCAGTTATTTTCCCTGCATTCGGTAGTTTGTTCTACCGGACATTGACCACTCCCCTGGCTCATTTAACTTCAAAGTAATCACAAAGTTAAGAGCCGCCGTTCGTATAACCGAATAACATGTGCGCTGGAAAACGGCCATCTTGTCTCCCGAAAGCAGGCAGCGGTACTTGGTCATCGAGTGTCTGGAACTCCAAGTCGGACATGCTAACCACGGAACATCGGTAACTTTGTTTCTGTACCTCTACTGTCTGGTAGATAATTAGTTTAAAGCGGCATTATAATGGGCGAATCCCGTTTCTTTTTTTAACCCCGCCTCCTGCCTTCACGACATTTAATTGACCCCCTAGTAAAACCCAAATGCCCAAAACACCCCATATTACCTATTTTTAAACTTTATTTTTCTGCCCTGACCTAGGTTCAGAGCGCCGCCATCTTTGTGTGGGTAGATGAAGTCCCTGTGGGACACGTCATCTGCCTACACTAGATAGCGCTGTGAGATTCCTGCACATGCCCAGTTAAAAACTTGGGCACGCGAACGGGAATTTCATATATTAATTCTTTCTCAGAAAGAAGATTGAATAGAAATGGCAGACGAACAAATAAACACTGAATATCAGTGTGCGTTTGTTCGTTCAGTTTTCAAGGAGAGCTACCTCGCAGCTCCCTCCTTGTAAAATGTAAAAATAGAAGTGGAAGGGAGAGTGAAACTTCCTAAGTCCCCAATGACTCTATGAGGGTCAATATGACCCCCGTAATAGATTGAAATCTCCCAAATGCCCCTACTTGCTATGCTGCAAGTAGGGTCATGTCTACTAAACAGTGAGCAGGGGGGTTTATTCCTGTTCGTTCAGTTTATTACAAGGAGGGAGCTACCTCCACAACCCCTGAGGGGCAGCTGGGGGCCCTAAATAGCAATGAAGGGGTGGAACTTATTGTCCTCCCCACCCCCGGACTCCACCCCTGAGCGGTGGGTGGGGGCCCTAAATGAGTATGGGGGGAAAGCTATTGAGGGGCAAGTCCCCGAGCCACTAGTCAGGCCCCCCCCGCAAACCAAAACAAAAATTGTTAAACACCTACATACCCCCCTAACCCTAAAAATAGTGAGGGGAGAATAAATGAATTAAGTGCCTGTAAAAAAAAATAAATAAAAAAATAAATCAATAAATAATTACCATTTAATGTATTTTTTCTAAAATCTTAATTTTTCAGCCTCAAAAAATGCCAACTAAAAACCATAAATACCAGTCGAACTTGTAAAAAACAACATAAAACACCAAAACGCAAAAAAATAAAAATAAAAATCTGAAGAAAAAGAAAAAATCCTACGCTAAAAAATTAATCCATCTTCATCCGGCAAGGGCATGGCGCAGACTGAGCTCCGCAGGATGGAGAAAGGCTTATAAAGCCTTCCCACGCCCTGCAATTTGACTCAGAACACTCTGACTGGTTGACTTGAAATCCAACCAATCAGAGTGCTCTGTGTCATTTTACACAGCGTGGGAAAATTCCAAAGAACTTTCCCACGCTGTGTAAAATGACCAGCAATCTGATTGGATAAATTCCAAGTCAACCAATCAGAGTCAAATTTCAGGGTGTGGGAAGGCTTTATAAGCCTTTCTCCCTGCTGAGCTCAGTCTGCACCGTGCCCTCGCCGGGTGAAGATGGATTAATTTTTTAGCATCAGGTTTTGTTTTTTTTTCGCTCTGGTTTTTTATTTTATTCTTTACAAGTTTTTATTTGGCCAGTTTGGTTACTATCTTTCTCTTTTTTTTTTAATTTAAGCTCATGACCTGTAATAGCATGAGTCCATTAGTTTGGTCACTGTTTTAAACGTTCATGTAAGATTATGATTTCTTATACATTTAGATCAGATGAATAGAAGTAATAGGAGTCTGAACACTATTGTATACCCTCTGGTGGTCTAATGTGGGGAACTGGATCAGTGTATCTTCAGAATGATTATGTTATGGTTTGATCTCTCTTTTCATTTATTTGGGTACAGCTTTAGATTTTCCTCCTCCTATTTTTTTATATATTGTGGTCAAAGTAAGATTTCATTTAATATTCATAAATCATTGACATTGTATGTATTCTAGTGGTGTTAAATTGAATCCACCGTTTACATTTAGTCCACCTGCCATGATGTAATTAGATTACTGCTCTCATGTTTTTACATTTTGTGTTATTTACAGTTTATTTCAATCTAGGTTTGACAGCTTTCTATGGCAACGACCCCAGGCCACGTCATTGAGCGCAACGTCACATGGTTGCAGACTCACGTCGGGTAACCCGTGGCAGTCCCGGTCTGGGCGCCTAGGAGCCAGATGCAGCACAGGTGGGGGTAAGTAAATATGATTTTAATGCTTTATATGTTGGGGAAGTTTGTGTGCACATAATGTCCTGATGAAAGCTTGAGGGAATCAAGCTGAAACGTTGGCAAATTTATCTGTAAGGTAAATAAAAGTAAAATTTTAATAAGTCCTTGGAGTGCTATTGTCACGGCTGCTAGAGTGGTCCAACACGCAGAAACTATGTAAACATATACATACAAAAGAAAAGGAAAATAAAAGGACAGAGCCTAAACCGCACCTTAGAATGGCCGGACTAATACGCTAGAGATAGAGAATGGTCAAAGGGAAAGCCGAGGTCAAGGAAGTCAGAAATACTCAAATACCGTTTAAACAAACCAAGTCAGGGGAACCAGAATTCGGAATAACCAGGGAAAAGCCAAGATCAGGATACCAGGACGTCAGATTCACAAAGATAAACGCAATCTCAGGGACAGGAAACCACGACAGGGCAAGGAACTAGAGTGAATTAGGGATTTAAATATCCCTCTCTGGGTTCTGATTGGTCAGAGGGTGACCTCTGACCCCAGAACGTGCGCATGCGTTTCTATTAATTTGAGGGGCGGAGCTTAAGATGGAGGTAACCACATGGTCCGCACCATCTTTGATTTGGGCACGACGTCCAGAGAAAGCAGAGGAGCGGCTCCCCGACGAGCAGGTCAGCTTGTTGTGTCGGCGAGACCGTGCCGCTCGGGCACGGCATGTGGCATACTATAAATTACTTATAGTTAACGAAACAGTTTATGACATATTCGTTTAGTCCAGGGCTGTCCAACCTGCGGCCCCCAGATGTTGCTGAACTACAACTCCCATGATTCTTTCAATTAAAAAGATAGCCAGGGAATCATGGGAGTTGTAGTTCAGCAACATCTGGGGGTCCACAGGTTGGACAGCCCTGGTTTAGTCCTTTGGGTGCAGCTGTGTCCAGATAATGAACCCAGAATGATTCCCTTTGAAAGAGCAGTCTGGATCTGTCACCTCCACGTGGAAGTGGGGGGACATGGTCTATGGCCATGAAGCGTAAAGTAGGTAGCCTGTGTTAAGCAGATACATGTTTGGCCACGGGTTTCTCCGTTATTTGATACCTGTAAACAGTGGTAATTCCTGACCTATGTCCTCTGACATGATCACGTACTGTCAAATCGGACTTACCAACATATGAAAGGGACAGGTAATTAAATAAATGACATGATCTGTTTTGCATGTAATATAATGTGAAATTGGTATCATTTTGCCACTGTGAGTATGTGCAAAGGAAGTTCCACTAATCATGTGGCTACATGTTACACACTAGCTACATTTGAAGCATCCTTTTATCCGATGTCCTGTGGATTTCTTATAGCCATGGATTGGATCACTGCGAACCAGCATGTCGTTCAAATTTCTATTCCTTTTAGAACTAATCGTGGGTCTTGAAATGTCTGGGGAAGATGTTTATCAGAGCTTAAAGGATCACCATAGTGTCAGGAAAACAAAGCGGTTTTCTGACACTATAGTGCCTGAGGGGGCCCCCTCCTGTGGCGCTGAAGGGGTTAAAACCCCTTTAACAGCTTACCTTAATCCAGCACTGGGCTCCCTCGGTTCTGGTGACCTCTCCTCCCACTTTTTCTCTGAAACTGCTATGTTTGTATCTGAAGGGTTAAAACCCGAGGGAACTGGCACCCAGACCACTTCATTGAGCTGAAGTGGTCTGGGTGACTATAGTGTCCCTTTAATACACCCCAATATTTCTCAATTGATCTCCGAATCTGTGTGGTTGCCATATGAAATGTACGTGGTAGGTATATCTTGTATTGCGATATGGTTAAGGAGTCTTAATTTTTGTAGATGATAGCTGGAAACCATCAACAACATATTCCTGTCAGTCTTTTTCCGATGTAGTGTATATCCTAGTTTGTCTTGGTCTTTATCAGTTACATCTAAGAACTGTATCTCAGTATTGTTGCTAGTCTAGCCAAGTAAGTGGGTTAATCTCATAAGAGCAGACATTAGGCAGTTAGAGTAGTACCTACCAAAGATAGGGTACATTGACGTTGTGGCAGGCTTATGCAATGTATGATCATATAATGTAACAAACCCCCATTATTTTTGCCTAGATTAGGTGTTTAAAAAAAAAAAAAAAAAAAAACAACAAACAACAAAATCTGTCAATATTGAAGTTGCTGTTTAGTAGATAAGTGAGTGCGCTGGATATTGTGTATTGTAAAAAATGCAGCCCTCTGGTTTCATATAAATTATATATATATTTACAGATATACAAAACATAAGTATGATACACAATACACATTGGGAAATTACACACGTATATAAAATGTAACAAGGGTTTTACATTTGTCAAAGGGTTATTCACTTAACTTTTTCATTTTAGGAAGTAAAAATCTAAATTGTGTAATTTAGACCACAATAGCAGATTTGAAAAATCTAACTTAGCTATAGTGACAGCTTGACAATTGTAGCCTAATTTTTGGAATTATTAAATTATTAGTTTAGTGGATAACACTGCCTTTCTCCGAGTCTTTGGTGTCCTGGAGTAAAACTATATCCAACGCAGAGTGCACTCATAGGATTGAGGACTAAACAAAACAGCATTTATATAAATCAGACATGCAGTCAATGTTTCACTCCCATTACTGGACTATTCAAGGTTATGGGGATGAAACGGTGATGTAAGATGTTGCACATCTGATTAGAATAAAGCAGCTCTTTTTTTTATTTTTAAGTTCTCCTTCTTTTGGGGTAAATCATTTTCATTCTTTTGGCTTTTCCCATCCGTATATCTGTCACAAGTGGCATAATTAATATTAGTGCTGGTATAAAAAATTTCCAGGGCTGCTTTTTATTCCCAGTCCGGCCCTGGTCCCAGATATATGTGTCCTCTGATGAGAAATATTTCCTGTAAAGGGGATGTGTGAGATTTCCTTACCCAGAGAGCCGATGGTCTGGTAATTCTCCACCACTAGATCTTCTTGATTTAAACAGTCCCACTCCTATGCAGAAAAGTAAATGTCCTCTTTCTCAAACTCAGATTGTTCCTAAATAACACATTATTCACATTATTACAAATCAGTGTCCTCCAATATAACACACAGCATATATTCTCTGTCGCTCTACCCTATCTTTGGGTTATACTTTCTTACTTAATATAATTGTCTGATTAGTAGCAGCGTTGCATTAATGATCCAGTATCCTCTCTGCTGCACCATCTCCTCCCCTCCATACTGTCCCTTTACTTCTCTCCCCATGTGAAAGGGTTAAACATTCTCCTTTGCTGCAATGCCCCTCAAAGACACTTATTGAGTCAGCAAATATATCCTGCTACAGTGTTCCTAGCTAAAGCCATTTCTGATCAGTTTATCATTAGGTAAGCTTTGTAGATAAGATAAGAACACAGTAAAAAGAACGAACCCCCTCGTTATGATATAGAAAATGTAAACCCCCTCATTATGATAAAATAATCTTGTTCTGCAATATTATCGCACAAAATTATAAATGTAGAAACTTCTCTTCGCAAGCATTTATTAACCATTGGTTTGTTCTAATAATTTGGTATGTTTTGAAGTTCCATCTTGTTTAGTGTAACATAAAAGGGTGGGTCCCTCCAGGTATAGTGAACACAGAAAATGTCCCTTCTCTCTCCATGCTGCCCTCTCTCCTTCTCTCTCTCTCCATGCTGCCCCCCTCTCCTTCTCTCTCCATGCTGTCCCCTCTCCCTCTCTCCATGCTGCCCACTCTCTCTCTCTCCATGCTGCCCCCTCTCTCTCTCTCTCCATGCTGTCCCTCCTCTCTCCATGTTGCCCACTCTCTCTCCATGCTGCCCTCTCTCTCCATGCTGCCCCCTCTCTCTCTCCATGCTGCTCTCTCTCTCTCTCTCTCTCTCTCCATGCTGCCCCTCTCTCTCTTCTCTCTCTCTCCATGCCCCCTTCTCTCTCCATGTTGCCCCCTCTCTCTCTCTCTCTCTCCATGCTGCCCCTCTCTCTCTCTCCATGCTGCCCTCTCTCTCTCCCATACCTTCTCTCTCTCTCTCCATGCTGCCCCCCTCTCTCTCCATGCTGCCCCCCTCTCTCCATGCTGTCCCCTCTCTCTCTTCATGATGTCCCCTCTCTCTCTTCATGATGTCCCCTCTCTCTCTCTCCATGCTGTCCCTCTCTCTCCACGATGTCCCCTCTCTCTCTCTCCATGCTGTCCCCCCTCTCTCTCTCCATGCTGTCTCTCTCTCTCCATGCTGTCCCTCTCTCTCTCTCTCCATGCTGTCCCCCTCTCTCTCTCCATGCTGCCCCTCCTCTCTCTCCATGCTGCCCCTCCCTCTCTCTATGCTGCCCCTCCTCTCTCTATGCTGCCCCCTCTCTCTCTCTATGCCCTCTCTCTCCATGCTGTCCCCCTCCCTCTCTCCATGCTGCCTCCTCCCTCTCTCTATGCTGCCCCTCCTCTCTCTCTCATGCTGTCCCCCCTCTCTCCCATGCCCCCCCTCTCTCTCCATGCTGTCCCTCTCTCTCTCTCTCCATGCTGTCCCTCTGTCTCTCTCCATGCTGTCCCTCTCTCTCTCTCTCCATGCTGTCCCTCTCTCTCTCTCCATGCTGCTCCTCTCTCTCCGTACTGTCCCCCCTCTCTCTCCTTTACTTACTCTCTCTCTCTCCATGCCCCCCTCTCTCTCCATGCCTTTACTCTCCCATGTTAATGTATTAGTCTGATTAATGGCAGCATTGTATTAATGATCCAGTATCCTCCATGCTGCTCAGTAATAACTGAATGGCTGTATTACCAGGTCACATGATGCTCCAGGGGGGTCACTGAGGACAATACTAACCTCCTGATCTGGAACCAGGAATAATCCCAATAAACACCATGAACCCCGAGCCTCACACTCTGCTCCCACCGGCTCAGCACGGCGCAGCTAAATGACGTCACTGATGGCAATGCCGAATACAGTGAGAATGGGGCGGAGCCTGGTAAGCAGCCTATGGAACGAAAGCTACATCTGGGAAAGGAAATGACATCACGGAGCGTGAACCACCCGGCGCCATGTTGGATGAGGGCAAAGTTCCCTTGTGCTCACTAGGAGCAGTATGGACAATAGGCAATGTGTTAGTGCATTGATTTCACTAGAGATGGCAAACAGCAGTGCTGCTATAGGAAGGACCGAGTGCTGGGAGTGAGAGTCTGTAGACCCCCAAGGAATTGGACCACCTGGACCACCAGGATCCCTGATAGACTCCCCAAGGAATAGGACTACTCCCCCTCCCCCCACACAGGCTGGACCACCAGGGATCTTGGAAATGCACTAAAAAGGCTAGAAAAATAAAGGAGGGGGGGCAGCAGGCAGACACACTACATCCTCACACATTACACCCAGCCAACACACACTCTCATTACAACTAGCCGCCACACACTATGGGGAGGACAGCTTGTTATTCAGCTTTTTAAATCATTCAATATGTATGGAAATATTATGAACTGTGCAATATAAATATTACTTGAATAATACAGTATTCATATGCAAGTCATATTTGTACACATTTCGGATATAATAAATTATGAAAACAATAAAAAGACTAATCAGTGTTATTAGCTACATAAGTTAAGTTGGCTCATTCAAACTGGCTCTTTTTTTCTGTAAAGTTGTACATTGTACCTTCCACCTCAAAAATAAATAAATAACACATTTGCCACTTAACCCCTTCAGGACCGGACTGTCTTTGCGATGTTTGTACGTTAAGGACCAGAGCTATTTTAACACTTTTGTGGTGTTTGTGTTTAGCTGTAATTTTCAACTCTCTCATTTACGGTTCCGATACAAATTATATCTTGGTTTTTTTTCAGGACAAAAAGGGCTTTCTTTACATACTATTGTTTTTATCATGTCATATAATTTAATTAAAAAATAATAAAATATGGTGAAAAATTAAAAAATACACTTTTTTTGACTTTTTTTACTTAAAGAATCTTTTACTGATCTACAAAATCGAATGACAAAAACTGCTAAATAGATTCAAAATGTTGTCCTGAGTTTTAAAACACCAAATGTTTTTGTTTTTTTTGCTTTTATTTGCAAGTTATAGGGCTATAAGTACAAGTAGGAAATTGCTGTTTCAAAATGTACATTTTTCAAATGTATCAATTGTGACATTGTAACACTGTTGTCATAAATCTCCAAAAAACACCCCACATGTATATATTTTTCTTAAACTAGATAACCCAGGGTATTCATCTACGAATATTTTGATACTTTCTATGCAGCCATTTTACCACAAACCTTTGCCAAACTTTACATAGGTAATTTTATTTTTTATTTGTTTTTTTCACACACATTGTACTTTAGGAATGAATTAACAGATCCTGTTATGTGTCACTGCCAAACAACACCCCAATATGTGTTCAACAACATCTCTCGAGTACAGGGATACCCCCCATGTATAGGTGTTTTGGGGGCTAAAAGGCCACGTTTGGCAGGTGCGCTTATCAGTTTCCCAACTTGGAATTTTGACATGTAATCAACCTGCGCCCATGTCCCATTTGAGCCAAAGTATTTTACCCCCATCTAACCATGTATTTTTGAAAAGTAGACAACCCAGGGTATTTTAAATGGTGGTATTTTAACACTTTACATGCACTGAATTCTACCACCAGCCTTTGTCAAACTTTTGGGTAGTAATCTTTTTTTGTTTATTTGTCACACACGTACTTTAGGCATGAATTAACAGATCCTGTTATGTGTCACTGCCAAACACTGCCCAATATGCTGGGCACCATGTGGGGCAAACTGAAAGTGATTGCTCTGGGGGGAGCGATCACTTTGAAGCCAGGCAGTGAGGGGGGTCTTGGACAATACCTCGGCTCACCCAAGATGCCATTTATTTAAATACACTGGGGTACCCTCTATGTCATCCAACAACATTTAGCCTGAGCCAAACCACATTTTGTTTCAAAGTGGCACCATCAACTCAATGCATTTCAATGGGGATTTCTAAATAAGTAACCAAGGTTTTTCTATGTGAAAACCATCTTGGCTCACCCAAAATGCCATTGATTTCAATTAGCTGGGGACCCCTCTATGTCATCCAACAACATTTAGCCGGAGTCAAACCACGTTTCATATAAAAAAAAAACTGGCACCAAAGTGGCACCATCAACTCAATGCATATCAATGGGGATTTCTGAATAAGTAACCAAGTTTTTCCTATATGAAAACCATCTTGGCTCACCCAAAATACCATTGATTGCAATACACTCTGCAACCTTCTATGTCATGTAAATAAATTTAGCCTGAGCCAAACTACGTTTCATATAAAAAACTGGCACCAAGGGGCGGGGCCTGACCATTGAGAGCAGAGGACACAAACTTGTATAGCTCCTATCTCAATAATCAAGTGGATTTTGGAGGTCAAAACGGGACCTAACCAGCCCAAAAAGGCCACCAGACGGAAGGTGACAACCAGGGCACAACCATAATGCCCATGAGGCGTACACGTGTGGTCAGTGTAAGGGAGACGGCCGCTCCCCCGCTGACAATTACGGTTGACAAGTGGAGACCGGACCCTCGTCCCCCCCCCCCATGGGCCGGTGGGGGTTATCCCGGTCCACTCGCGGGAAACTCCGGTACAACCCGGCAAGAATGCCATTGCGACACGGGGGCCTGCACCAAGCGACGGCACTGTGCCCAAGATGGCGGAAGCAGTGTGCCCCTCCGGCACTCACAGTGAGCAGCCAGAAGTCGAGCACCGGCTGGAAAAGACCTTCCAAACTCTCTGGGACAAGCTGGAGGTTCTTATGTTCGCGATATACCAAGAGCCTGTACCTAAGTCTGAGAAAACGCAGTCCTTCTACCAGCCGACACTTACCTGGAACTCTGCCCACGCGGCTGGGTGCGCCCACACATCTATCTCAGCCTCGGACAGCGAACACCCCACGGAGGCACTGGCTGACGGCGAAAACCCTCAGTGATCCAACCTGGACCACTCACAGCTCTTACACACGCGACACTCAGCTGATCCAGGGGTGCTCCCGGAGCAGAAAGCGCTCACCACTGTCAACATGACCAGCGTACACTAAGACACAGATACGATCCAGCACTGGGATCCCAGACCGGCTGGAGATATTGATGAACACCCTGATCGTGGAGCTACAGCCACCTACCATGCACCCAGCCAACAACAGCTCCACACCACAGCCAAGTCCGGAGACACCACAATTGAACAAACCTCGCAAGCACAAGGCCCAGCACTTGCCAAAGACCAACAAAAGGGTGCAGGGACCTTCCTTATCGGAACAAAAAATTGACTTTCTGCTCCAGCACATCAGCGGCATCGGGTGAAGATTTGCAGCTACGAGGACTCTCTTTACTGCAGCTGAGCACGGTTCTCATTCATTACGCATTTCTTGATCTGTTTTTCCCTGCTGATCTGCTTTTCTATATTTCTACCTCATTCTTGCTGTTTATTAGTCATGAGAACGTACCTTTATAATCACCTATAACTAAACATGCCTGCGTATAACCCCGCTCACCCTCACGCAGGTTACATAGGTTAACCCTCTGAGTTAATCACTACCATGCTATGTACAACTAGACCAACCTTCCATTGCTCCACAGTTTGGCAGCTCCAGCACTGGAAGCAATATCGGTTAGGCTAACCACACTACTTATTGCAGTCGCCAATAAAAGTTTGAGTAACCAAGGAAATATGCCAATTACCCCCAGTTCTCAGCTTCTGGTTACCCCACAGCTACTTATCCCACTCCCAGCTACCCTGTTGCCATCTACCCCCCTCCCCCCAGTCAGTAACCCTGCACCAGCCAGCCGCCCCTAAATTGGCCCTGAGCAAGCACACATAGATCTCCTACGCTAGGTAACTGGCAAACCTGTGTCACCTACCCCTGTCATGGGTGGGTCCCTAGCCACAGTCGTCCTACCTGTAGAAAGCCACCCAGCCACCTTCTTAGAGAACAAGACCTGCCTGACTCCTCTTTCCTGTCTAACATTGATGCAAGTTGGCGCTTACCCTGATCTCCTGGCCCGCTTTGTGGTTTCCTCTACCTGCCCAATTAACCTACTGGGAGCAGATGTCTTTTCCTGCTTACAAGTCTCTATCTCCTTTGTGGCGAAACCGGCCTCGCCACGTGTCCTTGGAGGGGGCTGCTTGCCCGCCTCTTGCCTTTGGACTATGGACCAGACTTTATGTGAATGTGTTAACCCAGATAGCTATGCCATGTAGCCCATTCGTGTAGTTAAAGACTTCGGCTCCATGGCAATTGAACTGTGTGAATAGGATCTGAGTGCTATTCGGTAGTTTTGTGCGCTCAGATCCCAGCTATCTGGGGATATGTGAAATGTCTATGTCTTATGTGTAAAAGGTGACTTTATGTATTTTAAAGTGTTTTGTGTCTTTTTGCAACCATGTGCTTAATGGAGTCTTGTGTCTGTCCTGGGAGATAATTGAATTACTCTCAATTATCTCCAGGATAGAAGACTCTGAAACTGGTTTGGGCCGGGAAGCCATGCTTCATTTAGTCACAAAGGACTTTCCCTTAACTTTTGAACCCCTGGTCTGATTCGTGCCATTTTTTAATATGTTGTTCCCCTGAATGGATTGATTATGAAAATTTATGTTTTATGTTTGTGACATGTATATTTTAGAAGTTATAAATATTGTGTAAAAACTGTATTCCTCTGCCGGTGATAATGAGATTACCCATTGTGTTCAGTAATCATATCACAGGCAGAGGGGAGGAGTTTGTGTGGGAGTGTCTGGGTGTATTGTATGGATTGATTGGTTGTTTTGTAACGCCCTGTGGGCTGTACTATGTTTGTGGATTGGGAATAAAAGAGACTGTATGTGACAGTACAGGGAGTTCCTGCTTAACCCTCAAAGTGAAGTGTCGTCTCATTATTGGGGGAGGATTTATTGTATGCTGTTCCAGTTTGACTGCTAGGAGTGTAAACCTATTCGCATGGTTTTTCCTATTCGGCTGTATACAACATTCATATGCTTGAGAGCATTCACATGCTCCTACGGTTCGGTGGTTTTGGTGTCTGCTGCAGTGCTTGGAGTCCTCAGGAAGCGCTAGGAGCATCCTTCAACGGAGGTACCCAGTCGGGGTGCCAGGCGATGCGTTACATCCTTCACCCCAGATGGCCAGGTTCAGTTGTCCTCCCCCCTGTCTACTGCTGATACTTCAGCCCTCTGCTCCATACCCCTCCTGCTCCACATGGAGACTCCTGATAGGAATGCAAGGGTCCTAGATGGTTCCCCCAATGCCTTTGCCAGGATACCTTCCAAACTATGGTCCACAGGCCCAGAAGACATTGGACGCCTCCAAGTTCCCCCAGTTCTGGTAAAGTTAATCCCAGGAGCCAGCCTGCCCAAGCCCTTGCTATTTCCCAGCAGGTAGAAAGCCTATTGTCTAATGGTGCCTTGGTCAAGTTTGTGTCTCCCTGAACCACTCCCCTGTTCCCTGTGAAGAAGAAAACTGAAAAGGGTGAGCCTGAGAAATACAGAATGGTTCAAGATCTCAGAGCTGTCAATGAAGCTACTATTCTGGAAACCCCTATCGTGCCTAACCCTCACAACCTCCTGTCAGGAGTCCCATCTACCGCCAAGATCTTCACAGTGGTGGATTTGGCTAATGATTTCTTCAGTGTACTTCTGGATCCCTCATGTCAATATCTGTTTGCCTTCACCCATGAATGTCAGCAATACACATGGACTGTCATGCCTCAAGGAGCACAAAACTCTCCCAGTCAATTTGCGAAAGCAATGGCTTCAATTCTGGACTCATGGCAAAAATACCACACTGATGTGGTCCTGCTCAAATATGTGGATGACCTCTTACTCTGTGCTGATGATCTCGCCACTGCTGAGCGTGCTTCTGAAGATCTGCTCCGCTACCTTGCTGAACAAGGATGTAAGGCCTCCAAGAAGAAACTACAATGGTGCCGGCCCTCCGTGGTCTTCCTGGGTCACAGTCTCTCACATGGCACCTGCCATCTCACCCAGGACTGGGTGAGTGGAATCTCTGCTATTTATTCTCCTAAAGCACACAAGCACCTTGATGCCTTCCTGGGCTTAATCTCCTACTGCAGAGCCTGGATACCAGAGGCCTCCATCTTCATGCAACCTTTGTACGATGCCCTAAAGACTGAACCATTTTCCCTGTCCCCTGAGGCATTATCCAGCTTCTTTGCCCTGCAACATGCTATTTCTACTGCCCCAGCTCTAGGCCTCCCAGATTACAAGAAACACTTTAAGTTGTTCATGTCAGAAAGACAGGGTCATGCATCTGGAGTCCTTACACAGTCCCATGGCTCCCACCAACGCCCCATTAGCTACTACTCCTGTCAACTGGATCCTGTGGCAAGAAGAAGCCCCTCCTGTCTTGAGCAGTTTTTGCAGCCAAGGCCTTCACAACTGATTTGGTACTCGGTCATCACCTCACCATTCTTGCAACCCATGATATTGCTGCAATCATCAGCCAAGTGCAGCCTAAACATCTCTCAGCTGCCCGCCATCTCTGCTTACAGTGCTCTCTCCTGCTACCAGACAACGTGTCCCTGCAGAGGTGCTACTCCCTTAAACCGCCACTTTTCTGCCACTTCCCGGGGGGAATTCCCACTAAGGATACAGCCTCGATACAGACCTAGACTCCATGCTTCTTCTGAATATGCACAAGCCCTCTGTCCCACATGATAGCCTTTCCCTTTTCCTCATTGCACCTTGTGGTACAGAAATACTCCAGGACCCGAACCCCACTATGAAGAAGACCTATTCTAGTTCGTGGAGGTCTGTTCTGTGATCCTAAAGGCAATTGTCTAGCCTTAGTCCAACTAATTCTGGAGGTAAATCACCTATACCACCACTGGGACTTAGCTGATCCTCACATCTCTCTCTCCAAGTTCCCACAGACGTCCTGGAAAGAACTTGGCCCGCTGGCCAAATCATGGAGCACTGCAGACCAGACTCAGCTTTCTGAAGAGGGTGTCACCAAGCGAACCCTGAATTGCAGGGCAACTGACTATCCCCGATTCCATACAGAAATATGCACTGAAGCTCCTCCCACAGACCAAGATCCTAATGCACCTCATGATTGTTTTGAACAGATGAAAATGGAAACACACCTCCCAACTGTACATGAAGCTGCCTTACAGGAACCTGACCTCACCCTGTTTGTGGATGGTAGACATGTACAATTCATTTCGGTCCGAATATAAATTTGGACGAATTTCGGGCAATTCAGAAGTTCCGAAATTACCGAATTGTTGAAGTGCCGAAGCACAGTATTGCCTAAGTACTAATATACTTACCCATTGGAAGAAGAATGTTACACTGTATACAAGTTTAAATAAAATGTATACAAACATAGCGAGGATTCAGCTGTAAGCATTTGCAACACTTACAACAATCAAGTATCATACATTCATATAAAATGTAAGTTACTTAGCCTGTCAATAGAATGACAGGAATGAAAAAGTCCCTAATTCCCACAGTATTAGGGAGCTATCTACTAAAAGGCTGAAAGACCTAAATTGGTCTTTCAGCCAAATTTACTAATGCTAAGTAAAGATTACTTAGTATAAGTAAATTATGCCCCTACTCGCTATACCGCGAGTAGGGGCATGTCTATTAAACAGTGGGTGGGGGCCCTAAATTAGAATAATATTGTCCTCCCCCCGGTCCCTACCCCTGAGCGGCGGGTGGGGCCCTAAATCAGAATAAGGGGGGGATCTAATGTCCTCCCCCTGGCCCCCACCCCTGAGCGGTGGGTGGGGGCCCTAAATAAAAATTTAACCCCCCAGCCCCAGGTGACTAGAGGTTCATGAGCGGTGGGTGGGGGCCCTAAATACTAATTGGGGGGGCTGGCCCCCACCCCTGAGCAGTGGGTGGGGGCCCTAAATTAGAATGAGGGGGTGACCTAATGTACTCCCCCTAAGCTGTGGGTGGGGGACCTAAATACTAATGGGGGGTCTAATGTCCTCTCCCTGTCCCCCACCCATGAGCAGTGGGTGGGAGCCCTAAATTAGAATGAGGGGGAACCTAATGTCCTCCCCCTTGGCCCCAACCCTGAGCGGTGGGTAGGGGCCCTAAATACCAATTAGGGGGGGACCTAATGTCCTCCCCCCTGGCCCCCACCCGCCCTAAATAAAAATGTAACCCCCCAGCCCCAGGTGACTAGGGGACCCCTAGTCACCCCCCTCCCCCCAAAAAAACTAACCCCTACCTACCCCCTCACCCTAAAAATAATGAGGGGGGGGCATTAACTAAGTACCTGTTAAAAAAGATAAAATAAAACTTACCATTTGATGTTTTCTTTCTTCTAAAATCTTATTATTTCAGCCCCAAAAAAGGCCCCCCCCCGCCCTGCAATTAGGCTCAGAGCACTCTGATTGGTGGGTTCAAGCCATCCAATCAGAATGCTCTGACAGGTAAATAAAGAGACTGACAGGTAGGTCTCTACATTTATCTGTCACAGCACTCTGATTGGTTGGCTTGAAATTCACCAATCAGAGTGATCTGTGTCAATTTACACAGCGTGGGAAAATTCTTTGGAATTTTCCCACGCTGTGTAATTTGACTCATAACTCTCTGATTGGTGGATTAAGTAATTAAGTCTGCGCAGAGCCCTCCATGGGTGAAGATGGGTAAAACATTTTTGCACTCATTTTTTTTTTTTTTTAAAGTGCGTCGGTTATTATGGCTTTTTATTTGGCCTTTTTTAGAAGAAAACATCAAATGGTAAGTTTTATATTATTTTTTTACAGGTACTTAGTTAAATGGTCTCCCCGCGTTATTTTTAGGGTGAGGGGGGTAGGTAGGTGTTAATTTTTTAGGGGGTGACTAGGGGTTTGACGAGGGGGTTTAATTTTTTTATTGAGGGCCCCCACCCGCTGCTCAGGGGTGGGGGCCAGGGGGGAGGACATTAGATCCCCCCTAATTAATATTTAGGGCCACCACTCACCACTCAGGGATTGGGGCCATGGGGGAGGACATTAGGTCCCCTCCCTCATTCTAATTTAGAGCCCCCACCCACCGCTCAGGGATGAGGGTCAGGGGAGAGGACATTAGATCCCCCCCTAATTAGTATTTAGGGCCCCAACCCGCCACTCAGGGGTGGGGGTCATGGGGTAGGACATTAGGTCCCCACCTAATTAGTATTTAGGGCCCCCACCCACTGCTCAGGGGTGGAGTCCAGGGAGGAGGGCATTATGTCCCCGTCTATTCTAATTTAGGGCCCCCACCTGCCGCTCAGGTGTGGGGCCTGGGGGGGCAATAGGTCCCCCCCTTATTCTAATTTAGGGTCCCCACCCGGCGCTCAGCTTATAGGGATAGATATTGCTGTTAGATATTGTAGATGCGAACATCCATTTTGCTCAATAGCCTAGCTGTTCATATAAGGGTTAATTTGAACCAAGAATAGATTTGGAATTGTATCTCCAATTCTCGGAAACAAAACTTATCTATTTACAGGAAATGTTATTGGAACATGATTTTGGATATCTACATGACATGACATGACATGATAAGGATTCTGGAATGACCTTGTTAATTGTCCAAGATTTTGGTATTTGTAATCATCTGGGTTTTATCCAATATGCATACATTATGTAACATCGAATTATAACTAAAAACAGCTGTTTATAACTTGTGAAAAACAATGTCATTGTCACGCCCATATGCTCATTTTTCCCCCTCCCATCCTGCTATGAAAATGGGGTATAAATATAACTGACGTATGAATACAATTTGAATTGGTTATTGAACATGTCTCTGTTATTCATTTCCAATTTCCAGAGCTCTGTATGAGTTGGCAAATATCCATCATCCACAAAGGGCCCGGGCTGATTTTATCCCCAACAAACTGGTGTCAGAAGTTTTTGGGTGCAATTGGACGGAACGGAGATGACAGGTAAGAGGATCTTTAAAGTCCTTCTTTACCTGCTTCTCCCATCCCCCACACATTGCATTTGTAATGGGGACCTAGACATTGTTTGCATAGGCTGCGCAATGTGAAATAACTAAAATAAAATAGGATAATAATAAGTATGCTTAGTAAATTTGTAAAGTGGTATAATAGAGGCATCTGCAATAAAAAAAGTGGGTTTCCAAGACCTGACAAGTGAGGGCAACTTAATATAACATATGTCTACAGTTTGCTGTCCCTTCCTTGTCAGAGGCCACTTGCAACACAGCAAGACAATTCTTCTGAAACCTGTATAAAAACAAAGCACTTTAGAACAATAGTAATTCATTTTGTGTCTCTAGTTGTTCTGAAAAAAATATTGTTTAAGTGGGATAACTGTATGGAGGTTCCAACATGTATTAAAACATGATCACACACATACAGAACTGGTGGCTTTTTGGACATCGGGATCTATAAAAGGTTTCAGTTTCCAAAGATGTTATCAGGGTCCACAAAATCTCTGACAGACTTCAGCATTACAATTTTATTAAAGTAATTAATTGGGATTATCAAATCAAGGTTTAAATTTAAGAACAGCATTTTATTGGGAATTATACCAATATGTATATGTTAGTGTTTTAGTACTCAACAAGTATTTATATAGAATGAGTGCTTCTCTCATCCATACAAAAACATAAACATAAAGGACATAAACAAAACTGAGAGAAGTACATGTTACACTAGTTAAGAGTTTAAATTTAGTATCCTATTTGAGTTTAGCATAGATAATTAATTTATTGATGTCGTACTGATCCTTGTGTTTGTATGATTATAGAGACCGTACTGGAGTATTTGTGCCGCCTGATATTTGGGACTACACACCAATCTCTCTGGCTGACCTACCTGCCTACTTACCTTTTTTTGCAATTAAATCTGTTTGGTCAAAATCCATGCTGGCCGAAGAAACTGAGATGCTTACTTATGAGGACATAAACTAACTTGGAAAGTCCTGAAGATGAGTGCTGTCTAATGCCGCTATTTCTGTATTACCCTTTCAACAATTGGGGTGTTGCACAGAGTATTGTGGTGAACATCCAGCAAACAGAAGAATTAAGAACTATGTGGAAGCTGACATTGTCTTGTTGTCAGCCATATTGCTACCCTTAGCTATGTTATGGTGTCTAAGATTATGGAACAAAGTTTATGGTGTCTTAAGATTCTTTAGACTCCTTGAAAGACTTATTCTATTTTTCTGGACTATGCTGGACTATTGAACTATTTTGTTATTTTTATTTTTGTAGAGTTAGCCGGAGAGAGAGGAAGTGTTAGCTTACTCAGGCATGGATGTACTATGTGTGTCATTGATGTATGTTGAGTGTACCAAGGATGGATTCCCATGTATTAAGTGTGGATATGACTGGACCATCGAAATAGGGATTTGATTAGGAGGCATAGGACGCAAGGTCATGATTGGGATTATTGCTAGAATTGCAAACTGATTAGAAATGATCTTATGATTTAATATGTAAGTGGGCCTTTTCAAACTAATCAAGAAGTGTTTCCCAATCCCGATACCCGAGCTATTTACTTACAAGTGCAGGTTTTATACGTCACTAATGCTGTTAACGTGAGGGGATGACATGTCTACACAGTCATGGCCCTCACTTAGAGTTTCCCCAGATGTGCTTTTTTCCTCAATTATGAGTTTTTGCCACTGGGTTTTTTGACCTGGCCCAAGTTCACTGGGTGGACTGGTAATCCAAGACCCTGGTCCAAAGAGGGGAAATAGATTTTATTCCCATTTTTTATTATATGTGTTTACATTGTGATTTATAATAATAATATTTCCGTTGTTGGGAATAATACACTTTGCCTGTTTTGATCCAAGGCTCAAGTTACAGATAACATGATGTGCAGTATGTTTAAAATTGGTTAAGATGTCAGCTGTTTGAAATTTTTAACTTGTACACTTAAAAGATGTGCACAACAGATGATTACAGAAGCTGAAAATCGACAGCTCGATCTCCTCTTAAAGGGAACACCTACGGCACAGAGCAAATGGGGGAAATCGAGGTGAAGAAATAATGAAAGTCCCGCAGACGTGATTAGCACGTCTGAATATACCTCCTTTGGTTTCTCTGCCGCAGGACTCACATGGATATTCCGTAAGGTAGATCATGATATGATCTAAGAGGGGAATTGTAGATGCGAACATCCATTTTGCTCAATAGCCTAGCTGTTCATATAAGGGTTAATTTGAACCAAGAATAGATTTGGAATTGTATCTCCAATTCTCGGAAATAAAACTTATCTATTTACGGGAAATGTTATTGGAACATGATTTTGGATATCTACATGACATGACATGACATGATAAGGATTCTGGAATGACCTTGTTAATTGTCCAAGATTTTGGTATTTGTAATCATCTGGGTTTTATCCAATATGCATACATTATGTAACATCGAATTATAACTAAAAACAGCTGTTTATAACATGTGAAAAACAATGTCATTGTCATGCCCATATGCTCATTTTTCCCCCTCCCATCCTGCTATGAAAATGGGGTATAAATATAACTGACGTATGAATACAATTTGAATTGGTTATTGAACATGTCTCTGCTATTCATTTCCAATTTCCAGAGCTCTGTATGAGTTGGCAAATATCCATCATCCACAAAGGGCCCGGGCTGATTTTATCCCCAACAGATATGGCTTTTAGTAAATAGTTATTTTAAGGGGTACTGTTGTGGATAGAAATTAATTTAGGTAAAATGTCTATTTACTTTGTATATCTGTATTCAGTATTTACTCAAAATGGCTGCTAGAGCACCCCCTCTCATCGACTGAACACCTTGTGTAACAAGATGGTGTCTCCATCCGGAGTAAAATCCCGACGTGATGGTGACATCACACTTTGGAGGAAGTGCATTAGACACTTAACACTTGACCAATTAAAGATGTATTCTCTCTGTTATCTTGCATTTTGCTTATGATGGATTTTCTGCTTTATAAGGGGCCTGCCGCCCGCCTGATTAAACATTCTGAAGTGTTTCATTTATCTGAACTGTCAGTGTGATTTACTTCAGCGTGCAAGCATTCTATTTGAAGCAATCTGGAGGGGGCAGATACTCGAGCAAACACTTGGTTTGATCTAAAACACCTGAATAATGTAATTTGTTGTATCAGGCATCATCCATGTATGAGGATGCCACAGTACAGTTTCTCAGAGGTCCTGGCAGAGGTGCCTACAGGACCTATTAACAAAAGAGTTGTCTACACAATTCACCCAAAGTCCACATGAATTGCAGTGATATAAGTACTCTTACTATGCAATTTGTGGCACCTGCTATGATTTGGATTGAAGTGAGCGCCCAATTTGTATATGGTTGCATCTACGGATCCCACCTGTTCCTAAGCAGGAACTACAATATTCTCAACATCTAGGTTATCTGGCCACATAAAATGCCCATATCAAGATTATGTAAATCACTTCCATGTTCCCTGGTAAGGCACAACATGTATATCATCAGGAACACCTCTGTGGATTCCAGGTTCAATTATGGCACTGATTGTTAAGTAGTTGATGCTTATTTATTCTGTAATCCACATTTTACTAATGTTATCATGTACATAGCAAAAAAGTAAAACTCAGTTTATTCACAGAGCAAGTGATTTTGTTTTTTTGGGGGGTTTCTCATAATAAAATGTCCTTCCCAAGATCAGTAACAGGATTGGACCCAGTGATAGACACATTGTTTGTCATTTGTGTTTGACAGTAGTTCATTCCCCTACAGCCCTTTCTATAATTAATATAGTGGACATTGAACATATAGTTAAATAGGCTAAAAAGAGACATGTGTACATCAAGTTCAGCCTTCCCGAGATTTGTTTTTTGCTGTTGATCCAAAACAAGGCAAGAAAAAAACGGTTTGAAGCACTTCCAATTTTGCAACAAACTAGGAAACAAATTCCCTCTTGACCCCAGAATGGCAGTCAGATTTATCCTTGGATCAAGAAGCTATTACCGTACATTGAAAAATTAGATAGTAGAATATTCTGTTGTGGAGGCAGCCCTCCCCCGGCGAATGAGGCCCCCAGGGGCCATGTGATCGTTCTCAAAGAGCGATCACATGGCCCCCTATAGCTGGCTGTGGCTTTGCCAGCAGAGGGACTGTCTGAAATGTCAGACAGTCCCCCTGCTGGTGGGAAGTAATAAATATTTTTTTTTTAAATAAATTAAATTAAATAAAAAATAAATTAAAAGTATTTATGTATATATAATATATATTATATATACATATTATATATATATATATGTAACGTCATATGTAATGTATTTTAATATTAATATTAGTATATATATTAGTATTAAAATACACTTAGCATGACGTTACATATATATATGTATATATATTATATATATATATAATAGATATATACACATATATTATATATATACGTATTATTGCATTAATAAATAAATAAAATAAATAAAATATTGAAACAAAATTTAATATAAAATATATTTTCATATGTAATTTCATTCTAACTGTATTTTGTTATTAATATGTGTATATTGGTAACAAAATACACTTAGAATGACATTCTATATATATCTATCGATATATAAAATACAAATAACTGCAAATATATTTATATATATATATATATATAGATAAATACATATAATTACATAAAAGATTATATTAGTATACACGTAGAATTTAAATACCTATAAATGCATATATATTAAAATTCTACGTGTATATTTAAGTAATCTTTTAACATAATTATGTGATTTGAGTAATTAAAATTTGATTGACATGCCTGACAACACAGGGAGAAAGTGCAGAGAATTTAATTCGCAAGCACTATATTTGACCCTGTAACTCTCCAAGACACCATAAAACCTGTACATAGGGGGGTACTGTTTTACTCGGGTGACTTCGCTGAACTCAAATATTAGTGTTTCAAACTGGTAAATTGTATTACAACGATGATATTTTAAGTAAAAGTGAGTTTTTTGCATTTTTTACAAACAAACTGCACTTTTATGGACTATATTATTGTTGTAATATGTTTTACTGTTTTAAAACACTAATATTTGTGTTTAGTGAAGTCTCCCGAGAATAACAATACCCCCCATGTACAGGTTTTATGGTGTTTTGGAAAGTTAGAGAGTCACATATAAGGCTTGCATTTCATTTTTTTGACATTGAAATTTGCCAGATTGGTTATGTTGCCTTTGAGAGCGTATGGTAGCCCAGGAATAAGAATTACCCCCATGATGGCATACCATTTGCAAAAGTAGACAACCCAAGGTATTGCAAATGGGGTATGTCCAGTCATTTTTAGTAGCCACTTAGTCACAAACACTGGCCAAATATTTGTTTTTTGCTTTTTTCACACAAAAACAAATATGAACGCTAACTTTGGCCAGTGTTTGTGACTAAGTGGCTGCTAAAAAAGACTAAACATACCCCACGTTCAATACCTTGGGTTGTCTACTTTTTCAAATGGTATGCCATTATGGGGGTAATTCTCATTCCTGGGCTACCACACCGTCTCAAAGATAACATTACTAATCTGGCAAATTTCAATTTGAAAATGGAACGTTCTATATTTGACCCTGTAACGTTCCAAAACACCATAAAACCTGTTAATGGGGGTACTGTTGTACTTGTGAGACATCGCTGATGACAAATATGGGCATTTATTTGCAGTAATACCTAACAGTATTATGACATTTACAGCTAAAATGTGAGGCGGAACTACATATTTGTAAAACACTTTTAAATTTTTCACAGTTTTTTAAATTTTATTCATCATAAATTATGTTTCATATATAAATATTTGATATGAAATGAAAGCCCTGTTTCTCCTGAACAAAATGATATATAATAAGTGTGGGTGCATTTAATATGAAAGAGGTGAATTACGGGTGAACAGACATTTGGCGCAAATTCCAGTTTTTGTTTACGTTTTGTTTTGATCAGAACGTGTACTATTGACTCCGTCCTGAGGGGGTTAAAGAGGTTTAAATTTGTTAACCTTTCTTCATAGCTAAAATGTTCCATTCCTTTTATTAATTTTGTAGCCCGCCTCTGCACTCTTTCTAGTGCCATAATATTCTTCTTTAGAGCAGGTGCCCAAAATTGCACAGCATAGTCAAGATGTGGTCTTACCAGCGATTTATAAATAGGGCAAAATTATATTGTTATCCCGAGAATTAATGCCCTTTTTCATGCATGACAATACCTTAATGGCATTAGCCACTGCTGATTGACATTGCACATTGTTGCATAGTTTGTTGTCTATAACAATTCCCAAGTCCTTCTCGTGTGTTGTTATCCCTAATTCGCTTCCATTAAGGGTATAAATTGCTTGTGCATTCTTTACACCAAAGTGCATAACTTTGCATTTTTCTACATTAAATTTAATCTGTCATTTGAGTACCCAGTCCCCCAGTCTATTTAAATCCCTCTGCAGCAAAATAATATATTGCTCATATTGTATTACTTTATAGAGTTTTGTGTCATCTGCAAACACTGAAACATGACTTTCAATGCTTTTTTCAAGTTCATGTATAAACATGTTAAATAGAAGGGGTCCCAGAACAGAAGCCTGAGGGACACCACTTGCCACCTCTGTCCAGCTTTATATAAAAAAATAAATAGATGACCTAACAGTTGGTACAACAGGTTTTTGGTTTCTGTGTCCATTTGCCAATTTACTTTAGAATTCTTTTTGAAGAGGTCATGGTCATTTGTGCATTTACGTCATCTAACCTTTAATTTTAATCATTTTATTTTATAGTGTATTCACATATCCTAGCTACTCTGAGACCAGGTACCTGGAATCAGACTTTGTTTAATGTATGGCTAATACTGCTGGTATTACGCTATAGGCTTAGTAGTAAACATTTATTTAATTTCCTTTACATGGATTCTTGGAAAAAGGAAATAAACAATTTGCTTTTCTGTGGAATTATCTATATAACAATTATAGCTTCTAAATAAAGATTACAAAACAAGCTCACTAAAGTGATCCTATTTACAAAAACAGGTTAGTTTTATGTTTTTATTTAACTAGCCAGCATCATACATGGAAAATTGATTTAACGGTGCTTTATTATGGCTAATTATACCTTATAATAAGGAAGTAAGCAAACTGAATTGTTTTAATGGACTTAACATCTATTAGCACTTAGTGTTGTAGTCCATTATTTGTCTGTCTGTCATAATTCGTTTCTTGTTGCTAAAGATAATATTGTTATTTAAATTGACATGGTTTCAACTCTACGTACATCTGACACAGGAAGCAACTCTAGTGGCCGTCTGAGTGACGGCCACTAGAGGTGTCCTTAGGCACTTCTGAAAAAGGCAGTGTTTACATTAAAAAGCATTCAAGGACAGGCTATAGACACCATAACTAATAAATGAAGCTGTAGTTGTTCTGGTGATTATAGTGTCCCTTTAAATGTGTACAATATTCTTACAGTTCTTAATCTTTTATGTTTACCAGACTTCTAGTCACATCCATACTCCTATCAAAGCCAGCCTGAGTCACATTTGAAAAGGTTTTAGGAAGCAGTAAATAATAATTTTCATGTTGCTTTTATCTAATTAAAAGACCTGTGTGTGGTCCTTGACCCATATGTCAACATCATTTGTACTAACCTGTCAAAGAGGTAAAGCTATAGAGGCAACACATGAACTGCAGTGTCACAATTAATCCTTCAATTATGGAATAAATGCTTTACCTGTAATTTTATAGTGGAGGTTAATGGGCTTTTAAAGTTTATTTTATCAAAATGTTCCTGAGGCTTCAAACCAGGCATGTATGACTTGCTAAATAATAAGAACTATGTAAATGAACGGCGCATTCACAGTGCTGACACGATTGTGGATGTGAAGGGTGTTCCCCTACACCTTAGGTAAATAGACAATGAGATACTTAGATAGAAACACACACACTAAGTATACACACCCTCTCCCATGAAGAAAAAACTAAAATACTTTTTCAGAATACATTTGTACGTATATGCAGTTGATGTCCCAAATGCATACTCTAAAAAAAAAAAAAAACAGAAAAATAAAACAACACATAGTGTATACTGTAATAGCCAATAAATAAATATGATGTATAAAGTCACACAACAGGCAGAACTGGAGGCCTTGAGTGATTATGCTTGTCACATGTGGATCAGGAGGTGCAGCAATAGTGATAAAAAGTAAAAATGTATTGAAACAAAGTATTAAAACAAAGTAAAAGAAACTGTGTAAAATAAGTCCCTTGATGGTGACAAACAGTCCTTCTCACATGAAGACGTGTTTCCACGAGTTTTCCTTGGTGCATGAAAAGATGTCCAACTTGATGCCTTTTGAATTTGCCGCTTGTAAGACAGCCATTCACGTGGGCAGAAGTTCGGCTGTTCCGGCATCTGACGTCACTTCCGGTTTTCCAGCGCATATTCGTCATATGCTCCCTAATTATTTCCTTTTGCGCATTCTACACATAGTCCTCCATATTACTACAGGGCAAATATCCAACTGTATCTATTGCTAAGCAGGCAATATACACTGCTCAAAAAAATAAAGGAAACACAAAAATAACACATCCTAGTTCTTTACATAGTTGAATGTGCTGACAACAAAATCACACAAAAATTTAAAAATGGAAATCAAATTTTTCAACCCATGGAGGTCTGGATTTGGAGTCACACTCAAAATTAAAGTGGAAAAACACACTACCACTACGGGCTTGTCAGGTTATACTTGCCGGGTTTCGCCGACTTAACTCACTTCCGGGTTGACGGCACTTTGCCCCGCTCCTTCTCTGACACAGTCTTCACAAGCTACATAGGAAGACCGCGCCAGATTCAAAGCGCTGGATTATTGAACAGGTGTCTGTGAAACTCTTACCGGCTACTCTATTTCAATTGAACTACCCGTGTACCGAAATCGCTCTGGAAACGACTACCCTCCTTCTCCACTCCTCGACCTCAGATTGTTAAACGGACTTCTATTCCTTCCCCCAAGGAACTGATTAATTTCATCTCTCCAGTTACCAGAAACTGCCTCTCAAGTACTGATTCCTTCAATCAAATTACTCTCAGTTACAAATAAGAAACTGCTTCTAAGGCTAAATACTATTTCCTTCAATCAAACTGCTCTCAGTTGCAAATAAGAAACTGCTTCTTTAGCTAAGTACTTCTTCCTTCAATCCAATTGCTCTCAGTTACAAATAAGAACCTGCCTCATTGTTAAACTAGCCTGAAGCTAATTCAACTACATTTAATTCAACCTAACTCTGCATGCATTCTCTGCACTATCCTTAATTGGGACTGCTTAGCTTTGTGCAAAACTTCAGTGGCTTTTTCCTGCAACTAACAACCTGCTAGAGGGTTTAAAGCTACAGTATCCTCTCCTGCAATTCAATAACAAAAAAGGATAAAACTATAAATTGATGTAATTAAAAGTTTTCTGCAGTTGCGTTCCAATAGTTTAGCATTACAGGGCTGATCCAACTTTGATGTAATGTCCTTAAAACAAGTTAAAATTAGGCTCAGTAATGTGTGGCCTCCACGTGCCGGTATGACCTCCCTACAACGCCTGTGCAAGCTCATGATGAGGTAGCGGATTTTCTCCTGAGGGATCTCCACCTAGACCTGGACTAAAGCATCTGACAACCCTGGACAGTCTGTGGTGCAATGTGACGTTGGTGGATGGAGCGAGACATGATGCCCCAGATGTGCTCAATTGGATTAAGGTCTGGGGAACGGGCAGGCCAGTCCATAGAATCAATGCCTTCGTCTTACAGGAACTGCTGACACACTCCAGCCACATGAGGTCTAGCATTGTCTTGCATTAGGAAGACCCCAGGGCCAACCGCACAAGGGGTCTGAGGAGCTCATCTCGGTACCTAATGGCAGTCAGGCTACCTCTGGCGAGCACATGGAGGGCTGTGTGGCCCCCATAAGAAATGCCACCCCACACCATTACTGACCCACTGCCAAACCGGTCATGCTGGAGGATGTTGCAGGCAGCAGAAGGTTCTCCACTGTGTCTCCAGACTCTGTCACATGTGCTCAGTGTGAATCTGCTTTCATCTGTGAAGAGCACAGTGCGCCAGTGGCAAATTTGCCAATCTTGGTGTTCTCTGGCAAATGCCAAACGTCCTGCACGGTGTTGGGCTGTAAGCACAACCCCCACCTGTGGACGTCGGGCCCTCATGGAGTCTGTTTCTGATCATTTGAGCAGACACATGCACATTTGTGGCCTGCTGAAAGTCATTTTGCAAGGCTCTGGCAGTGCTCCTCCTGTTCCACCTTGCACAAAGGCGGAGGTAGCGGTCCTGCTGCTGGGTTATTGCCCTCCTACACGTCTCCTGATGTACTGGCCTGTCTCCTTGTAGCGCCTCCATGCTCTGGACACTGCGCTGACAGACACAGCAAACCTTCTTGCCACAGCTTGCATTGATGTGCCATCCTGGATGAGCTGCACTACTTGAGCCACTTGTGTGGGTTGTAGACTCCATCTAATGCTACCACTAGAGTGAAAGCACCGCCAGCATTCAAAAGTGACCAAAACATCAGCCAGGAAGCATAGGAACTGAGAAGTGGTCTGTGGTCACCACCTACAGAACCACTCCTTTATTGGGGGTGTCTTGCTAATTGCCTATAATTTCCACCTGCTGTCTATCCCATTTGCACAACAGTATGTGAAATTGATTGTCACTCAGTGTTGCTTCCTAAGTGGACAGTTTGATTTCACAGAAGTGTGATTGACTTGATGTTACATTGTATTGTTTAAGTGTTCCCTTTATTTTTTTGAGCAGTGTATATTAATACAAAATACACTTAGTATGACGTTATATACAATATATATATATATATATATATATACACACACACACAGATATATTTTTTTAATTTAACTTTATTCAACTTTTTTCACCAGCAGGGAGACTGCCTGTCTGTTCAGACAGTCCCCCTGCTGGCAGCACTGTGTACACCTATGGCAGCCATGTGACCGCTCTTTTTGGAGAGATCACATGGCCCCTGGGGGTCCTAAATTGCAGAGGAGGGACTCTCAGGGCTTAGCCCAGACAGTCCCTCCTAAGAAGACCGATTGCCGGCGGGGCAACAGCGGCGTTCGGTAAGTACATGGAGAGGGATTAATTAAAAAATTTGCCTGATGGCTTCCGATGCTCTGTCTCACTGCCGGGCAAACTGGAAGTGATCTCTCCGGGGGGAAGTGACCATCCAGTCTTCTCCAGTGGCCCACGGCAGTGAGGGGGTATTGCAGCAATACCCTTACAGCTGCTGGAAGCGATCATGATCGCTTCAAGAGCTCTAATTTCCCTAGGACGTATAAGGTACATCAACGGTTGGGAAGGGGTTAATTTATCAATCTCTGGTTTCATCTGTACCTCTGCAGTATTGGGCAGCCCAATTGAACACACACACATTGCTGATTCAAAAGGACTACAAATTTAATTGTAACACACATCAGTATATGAAATGAGGATTATACATGCCCCTTATTGGATCATTCAATTGGGTACTAACACACAGATCTTAAAGGGGAATACAGGATATGGGGGGTAATTAAAAACACACATTCTTGCAGCCTACTGGATATGTGGGGGGAGGTAGAATCACACATTCTTGGAGCCTGGTGGGGAGGGTAAATAAAATACAGATGGTCACTGCCATACAAAGAAAAAGGATACGAATGTATAGTCTACAATGAACAGAACTTAGCTTGTTAGACTAGGGGCATATTCATTAACATGTTAAAAATCAAGAACCATAAAAAAATAAAAACATTCAATTAGTGACTATTCTATAAAAAAAAGCCTCAGATGGGTTCAGAAAGCCACAGTGACCAAAATATATATATTAAAGGGTCAAAATATAAATAGATACAGCGGGAAACCGACACATACCGCAAGTCTCTTGGATTGGCATAGGGTGATCAGCAGGGACTATTATAGGTACTCTCCTTATTTAAAAGAGCAATTCTGCAGTTTGTTTTAATTTTATGTTATATATATATAAATCTGCAGTGCTTTCAAACTGCGGTATATATATGTCAATGCCTTATTATATTTTGCTATATAGTCATATGTGCCTACACTGGGCCTCTACTCTTGTTTATATTTGCCATGGGTTAATAGTGCATTTTCTACTACTTCTGTCTCTTTTATTGACAAGCCTATATTTGCAAAACTGTCATTGTAATCTTGATTGACTAACTGTGCACTTCAAGTTTTTTTTTTTTTAAATCGACTTCTTTTTAAAATCAGTATGTAACTAAAACATTCTACAACTTAAGATCAGAAAATTCCTATTTTGTGTGAGTTCTCTGATCTCTAACAAGCTTTGAATTACTGACAAAACATTTTCCACATTCAGAACATGAGACGGCTTCTCTCCTGTGTGAGCTCTCTGATGTGAAACAAGGTCTGATTTAGTTTGAAAACATTTCCCACGTTCAGTAACAGGAGAACGGCTTCTCTCCTGTGTGGGTTCTCTTATGTCTAACAAGGTCTGATTTCGTTCCAAAACATTTCCCACATTCAGAACAGGAGAACGGCTTTTCTCCTGTGTGAGTTCTCTGATGAATAATAAGCTTTGAATTACTGACAAAACATTTCCCACATTCAGAACAGGAGAATGGCTTCTCTCCTGTGTGAGTTCTCTGATGTAGAACAAGGTTTGAATGCTGGCTAAAACATTTCCCACATTCAGAACATGAGAACGGCTTCTCTCCTGTGTGAGTTCTCAAATGTGAAATAAGGCCTGATTTAGTTCCAAAACATTTCCCACATTCAGAACAGGAGAACGGCTTCTCTCCTGTGTGAGTTCTCTGATGTGAAAGGAGGTCTGATTTAGCCCCAAAACATTTCCCACATTCAGAACAGGAGAATGGCTTCTCTCCTGTGTGTGTTCTCTGATGTGCCATAAGTTCTGGTTTAGTTCCAAAACCTTTTCTACATTCAGTACACGAGAATGGCTTCACTTCTGAGTGAATTATCTGATGAATAATAAGCTTTGAATTATTGACAAAACATTTCCCACATTCAGAACATGAGAATGGCTTCTCTCCTGTGTGAGTTCTCAAATGTGAAATAAGGCCTGATTTAGTTCCAAAACATTTCCCACATTCAGAACAGGAGAACGGCTTCTCTCCTGTGTGAGTTCTCTGATGTGAAATAAGGTCTGATTTAGTTCTAAAACATTTCTCACATTCAGCACAGGAGAACAGCTTCTCTCCTGTGTGAGTTCTTTGATGTGAAGTAAGGTCTGATTTAGTTCCAAATCCTTTCCCACATTCAGCACAGGAGAACGGCTTCTCTCCTGTGTGAGTTCTCTTATGTCTAACAAGGTTTGATTTAAAAGCAAAACATTTCCCACATTCAGAACATGAGAACGGCTTCTCTCCTGTGTGAGTTCTCAAATGTGAAATTAGGTCTGATTTAGTTACAAAGCCTTTCCCACATTCAGAACAGGAGAACGGCTTCTCTCCTGTGTGAGTTCTCAAATGTGGAATAAGGTCTGATCTAGTTCCAAAACATTTCCCACATTCAGAACAGGAAAACGGCTTCTCTCCTGTGTGAGTTCTCTTATGTCTAAGAAGGTCTGATTTAGCTCCAAAACATTTCCCACATTCAGAACAGGAGAACGGCTTCTCTCCTGTGTGAGTTCTCTGATGTGCCTTAAGTTCTGATTTAGTTCCAAAACATTTCCCACATTCAGAACAGGAGAACGGCTTCTCTCCTGTGTGAGTTCTCTGATGTGCCTTAAGTTCTGATTTAGTTCCAAAACATTTCCCACATTCAGAACAGGAGAACGGCTTCTCTCCTGTGTGAGTTCTCTGATGTGCCTTAAGTTCTGATTTAGTTCCAAAACATTTCCCACATTCAGAACAGGAGAACGGCTTCTCTCCTGTGTGAGTTCTTTGATGTGCCATAAGTTCTGATTTAGTTCCAAAACATTTCCCACATAGAGAACAGGAAAACAGTTTCTCTTTTGTGCGAGTTCTGTGATGTATAATAAGATCTGTTTTGGTTAAATAAGCATTTCCCACTTACAAAACATGAGAACAGCATATCCGCTGTATGAAATCTTTGAAGCCTAACAAGAGCTGAGTGATGGGTAAAACATTTCTCACAGTTAGAACATGTGAATTTTTTGTTTACTAGCTCATTTGTAGACACATAGGATTCAGAGAGTTTGAATACTTGATCCTTAAAAAATTTCTTCATTATCTTGCTTTGTTCATTTCTGTTTTTGTCATGTTCTTTGGGATAAATTCTGCTGGTGGAAACACCTGAAAGAAATGTACTGAGAGTTAAAGAAAAGGTGTCGCTTTTAAAGGAATACTATAGTCACCAAAACAACTTGAAGACGTTTTTGTATATGGATCATGCTTCTAAAGCCTCACTGCTCAATTCGCTGCCATTTAGTAGTTACATCACTTTTGTTTCTGTCCCTCCAGCCCTAGACACACTTACCCTTGCTGTGACTGACAGCCTGTATGAAAAAAATAGTTTAATTTTCAATCATATAGTAACTTACTTTAAAAGTATCTCTGCTCTATAGCTTGTATTTTCATCACACACAGAAGGCTGATGCAGGATGTTGTAAGTCATTAACAGAGAAGGAGAAAAGCGATTTGAAATAAAACAGAATTTGCAATAAAGGAAGTGTAAATATTAGATGATTTAGATGACTCTTTAGAGGAAGTGTTTAGGAAGGCTGTGCAAGTTACACACAGGAAGGTGTGACTAGGGCTGCTTCTAACCTTTCTGGCTAGGAATAGATGTTGTTAAATAGAAACTTCCCATTCGTAACCATATAAGTAAATTTGATATGAAGAAGATCCACACCCCTTGTATACAGTCACAACTATAAATTAATGTATCACTATGCATCAGTAGAATATCTTTCCAACTTTCCTTTATTGCTATATGTTCAATTTATCTACCTATTCATAAAGGCACTCAGTCATGTCACGGCACACTTTTACTTTCATTTGCTTTACGAAATGAACTTAAGTCTATAAAGCCTCTCTTAACTACATTTTCCTGGCTAATCATGGCAGCATATACAACATGGGTTAGCTCCGCAACTTACAGCCGACAGGTCAGGAAAAACACCAAGGCTTTAAAAGGAGGCTCCATTCCTAAGGTCCTCAGTCTTTTCCCTGTCCTACGCCCTTAGGAAGTGAGCAATTTGCTCCCTTTACTTACGGACATGTATGTTTTTTCTTCATTACTTTTTTTATTTATTTTAGGGTGCCTTTATACTGTGGTACATTATGCAGTTGTCTTTTATGCTGTGATGCATTTAATCTATGAGGAATGTAGACTGTGATGCATTTAAGCTTTGATGTCTTTAAACTAGTGCATTATTACCTTATGCTATAATATCTTTACATTTTGGTACATTATGCAGTTGTGCTTTTATACGGGGAAGCATTTAAACTGTTGTGCATTTAAAACTTGCATGTAAAACTGCAGTGCATTTGAAACTGTGGTGCTTTTACATCTGCAGTGCATTTGAAACTGCTGTGCTTTCAGACTGCGGTGCATTTGAATCTGCAGTGCTTTCAAGACTGCAGAGCATTTAAACCGTGATGCATTTTGCAGCTGTGCCTTAAGGCTATGAGGCCTTTTACACTATGAGGCCTTTTTACTACCTTGCAGGCACCTTTACATTGTCTTTTGCTTCCCCTCAGTCCCAGTGATTTTCCTGGTTCCCTGGGTGTTCAGGAGCCATGTATGCTTCAGACAGAGCTCTCTCCCTGGTCTCTAAACAGCAAACACACTCAGAAAGGGCCCACGTGTGTGCAGTTTGTGCCTTAAAAGGTCTACTACAGATGACTTGCATTGTGGGAATACAAGTTGTGGCAGCCATCTTGGATAAGGGAAATTGCCAGAAAGTACCTAAAATGAAGGGAGAATTACAGTAAACATCCCAAACTTATTTGGTAAGTGTTTGAGGGTGTCCAGACAGGAATAGGTGCTGTCTACACCCAGTTTTTAATCTGTTTCAATGGTTTCTTAATATAATTTATCAGTGCACTTTTTTACTTTAGTGCTTTGCCACAGGTAATAGTTGTTTTCTAGTTATTTATTATTTATCTGATGTCTGAATCTACATCAGATTCTGGTTATGAGGAGAAAACAGTGGAAGGAAAACTGTTATGCACTGACTGCCTCCAGAAGGTAGCCCTTTCAGCATGACCTATCACTGTGCAGCCACATGACATGCGGCCATGGCTTACAAACAATGTTCCAAGGTATTCCAGAGGCTTTAGGGGTATAAAAAGAGGCCAGGCCTTATCCTGTGGAGGAAGGTATTTCGAACCTCTGAACTACACCACCTAAGTTTCAGTTCCAGGGACAATATTCGCCTCGCTTTTGCTGCTAAAAGAAAATGCACATGGAAGCCTACACTGGATCTAAGAAGGGCCAACAAAAGGCTGAATGTCAGTCTTCAAGATGGAGTCAATCAGATCCAAATCTCAAGCAATGTGGAAGGATAATTTCCTTATCTCTATATATATATGTCAAGGATGCTTACTATCATTCCAATCGACCTAGATCTTCAGAATTATCTCTGAAGAGAACTTCCAATTTAGTGTCCTACCATTTGGCCTCACTGCAGCCCAAAGAACCTTCTATGTGCTTATAGTGATATTGAGAGTCCAGAACACCACCTGGTTCCATTATCTGGATGATCTACTTTTGGTAGCCTCAGACCTACAGAGGAAGATAGTTCTTTCAGAAACTCCTGAAGTTTGTCTGCTTGATGTATATCAAGAAAAGCAGTTTCACGCCAGTTCAGTGGTTAACATTTCTGGGTGGAAGATGCTATGCTCTGCCTTTTTCCTATCTCAGGAACAGTTGCACAGATTGTGGAGGTTTCTCTCCCAGTTTCTTTAATTTTGCTTGGTACCAGCAAGAAAGTAGATGCAACTACTAGAACTCCTGGCTTCCACCATCAGACTTGTGTGATGGGCCCAATGGTATCTCTGTATCTCTCTATGATTCTACCTATCTTGGTTTAACAAGAGAAAGATTATTGGAGACAGCCACTGACTATGTCCCCATCAGTGGAGTTACACCTTACCTGGTAGCTGAAAGAGAGAATATATCTCTGTGTGTTTCCAGTGAACAGACCCTCATTGGTCAATGATAAGCTCTGATTCGAGTTTTCAAAGATTGGTTGCACAGTGTTTGGATCATGTTGCACATTATTTCCATTCAATTGTATGGAATTACAAGTCAATTTCAGGGCTCTTCTTCACTTCAGAGGGTTACTGAAGAACAATTGGGTCCAAATTTGCTCAATTTCAAGTATCTGTATCCTATATCTATCTAGATGGGTCTCACAGCTACGGATTGATAGAATTACAGTCCATGATAATCAGGGCACAGAAGAACAACCAGGGGCTCTGAATACAATGGCTGATTACCTGAACTGAATAACTGTGGACAAGGTGGAATGGCAACCATGCCCCGACGTATCCTTGGGGTTGACGCAGATTTGTCTGATACCCTACATAGATCTGATGGCCATTTCTTGGAACTACCAGGTCCAGAAGTATTTTCTGGGTTTTACGACCAGAATGCTCAAAGTCAGGATACCCCTGGTGCTTTGCTTCATGTAAGCAGCAATTAAACTCAAGCCTCCACTGAGGGTGTTAAAGCCAATACCACTGATGTCACAGGCTCTGACTAAACCCTCATTTGAACCTCTGGCAGGAGCTTGCATGGTTGTAACACAAAGTGCTGGTGGCTAGTACCTCAGCAAGGTGAATGTGTGAACTCCAGGCTTGATCCTATGGACCCTATTCACTAATCTTCAACAGGATATGATTGTCTTGTATTTGGCCTCTGAGGTCCGGCCTAAAAGGAAAGATTATTGATGCCATTCTTTACCTGTGCGGGAGGGTATCAGGGCACTCTCCACCAATGCTGTTGCAACATTGTGGATTTCCATGGCAATGGTTTCTGCTGACACTTTTTGTAAAGCTAGCATTTGAACCTCTTTAGACACATTAGTCCGGCATTTCATACTGTTCGTTGAAACGGTCAATGATGCACAATTTGGACGTCAAGTACTTAACTCGGTTCATTCTTCTAGCTGGTTGAATTGTTCTGATTATTTGATTGGCAATTATTTATGTTTCTCTCCCTCCCTATGTTAGCTTGGGTATTCCCATGTTGTATATGCTGCCATGATTAGCCAGGAAAGTGGAAAATTTGTTCATACTCACCGAAATTTTATTTTCCTGGCAGCATATACTACCCACCCATTAATGTCTCTATTTATCTACTGTAGAGCTTGTAAACTGACTGAGGACCTTAGGGATGGAGCCTCCTTTTAAAACTTTGGTGTTTTTCCTGTCCTATCGGCTCTAAGTTGCGGAGCTAACCCATGTTGTATATGCTGCCATGAATAATAGCCAGGAAAAGAAAATTACGGTAAGTATAAATACATTTTCCACTACACTTCAGGAATGATTACCATCTTGTAGAAGAGGAAAAATCTATATTTTTTTCTCATATGCCTCTCAGCATTACATTAGCATTGTAGAGATTGTTATAAAAATAAAATATTTAAAAAGGTATGTGTATCTGTGTTTGTATGTGCCAGTGTAAATGAATTTGACACACAAATACACACACACTGGCAGATAGTGGCACACAAATACACACTTTACAAACAGTGTGTATGTATCTGTGTATCTGTGTTTCAAAGTGTGTGTATGTGCCAGTGTGTCAAGGTGTGAATATCTGTGTTAACATGTAACAGTGTGTGTATCTCTGTGTCAGTGTATATATGACACAGAGATACACACCTTTCGAAGTGCTGGCATGTAGTCCCTGTGGTCCAGTGGGGCTGCTGGCCCTCGGTCCTTGGGATCCAGTAAAGCTGCAGAGCGGCTGGTGTGCGGGCGGCGATGGAGCAGTGATCTCCCTGCTCTGCTCCCTTTCGCGCCTCATAGTGATGCCAGAGCGATGTCATATTCCGGCTCCAGCATCACTGCTGAGTAGTGGGATTACTACTCACTACTCCCTTGCCGCCCGCGCCCATTTTATTTTTTCAACTTTTGGCAGAACCCCAATTGGGAAACACTGATCTAAGGCATGGTGTCCAGCCTTTTGATTTCGCTGGGTCACATTGAGCGCAGAGGAATTGTCTTGGGCCACACATCAAATATATAATATAGATTATAGATAATGTATATAAGTAATATACCTTTAAAAGACCTTTTCTTAATTTTGATATTTCAATTGTTTAGTAGGTAACTCCCTTATTTGTTATCCTTGTGTGGGATTGGCACATTTAAGGCAAATTAGGGAGCTATCTACTGAACACATACACATGTGTATACATATGCACACATAACCACAGATAGATAGATACATACATACACAAACAATCAATCACAGACCCCCACAATCACATACATACACACACACATAATAAAAGACCCACACACAATCACAGATATAAACACACACACAGCCAATCCCTGACAAAACATACACAAAAAACAGATGCACACACATTTAATACTAAAGAGGTCTATCCAGCCTCGCTAACTTGCTCTGGGATGGCTGGAGTGGATCCTCTTCCTCGTGGCCAATGGCTGCTGCTGGGCTGTAGCCTGGGACCTCTGTGCTCTTCATGCATAGGTCCCTCGCGTGCCAAGCAGTGATGCCGGGATGATGTCATATCCCGGCGGACAGCTCACTGCCGGGTGGTGAGGAAGCTGTGCAGGAGGAGGACAGAATTAATGGGCTCAGAGGCGTACCTCGAGCTTTTGGCACACCCCTTCCACAATTCAAATTTAAAAAATACCCACTATTGTTTGCAAAAAACTTTTTAATGTTTTCAAATTTTTCTTTAAAATCCCAACTACAACAGTAAAGGCAATAAAAAAAAAACAAAAAAAACAATTCTTTCCCTCCCCCTTCTACAAAAACCCGTGCCCAGTCCCCCTTCTACAAATCCTCTGCCCCCCCCTCCACAAAAATCCTGCCCCAATCCCTCTACAAAATCCCCTAACTAGTTCCTCCCCACCCCCCATCTACAAAAACCACTGCCCAGTCCCCCCCATCTACAAAAACCACTGCACAGTCCCCCCTCTATATTCTGCCATTCAATTGCTGGGTGGTTTCTCCAATGTAGCATCATACGTGGCATTTGGTGCGTTGAATCATGTATACTACATTGCTGGAAGTGCAGGAGTATGATTCTTTAATCCTGTAGGTTTTATTGTTGTGTGCTGCTGTGTTCTCTGTGTTTTTTCACCTCTCTCTCCCCCCTTACTCTTGAATCTTCACACAAGATATTTACAACCCTCTGTGAGAATGGTGTCTATTTTCTATCAAACTTGTGTCTTATCTGCACTCATGTTGCTTTAACCCCTGTATCACAACTCACCTTTGAATTCTATGTGTTGTCTTTGCTCAGAAATGCTTTAGACTTGAGAAAGGGAGGTTCCCAGAAAGCTTGTCATTAAAAAAATTCTGTTGGTCCAATAAAAAGAAAGTTATTACAAGATACATTATTGTATCTGTTTTCTTACATCTGCATCACTGGACAAATACAGCTACTACATACATATATATATATATATATATATATATTTTCTCAATTGATCTCCAAATGTGTGGCTCCCGTATGAAATGTACGTGGTAGCTGCATCGTCATATTTTTATCTTACAGTATTGGATCTATTTTCTTCATTCTGCCGGGTCCAACTTTCAACGGCTTTTTGTTTAGCTTTCACCAATGTTTGGGGACGGTGTCCGCTAGCTATGAATATTTTGGTCATTTAATTTAATTGTAGTATTCAATTGTTGAGATCACTCTCATGTATTGCGATATGGTTAAAGTGGCACCGTCATGCCGAACTTACCTTTCCCCAATCGAGTCCTCTGTCAGGATCTGTTCTTTGTTTTTTCCTGTCGACACTAGTTTTCTTTAAAACATAAGACAAAGTAGGGACTACTTTGTCTTATGGAGCTTTGACCAGCGGAGGAGCAAAGTGTGGTCAGAGCAATTTTTCCACAATTCTTACCTTTCCTCCGTGATCCTGCGATGTCTCCTTTCACGTTTCCCAAACGTCCTGTGATTTAAGACAGAACGCCGGCGAAACTACCGATTTGCGTGCTAACACAATGAGAACAGTTTCTCCATTGAAAAAAGAAGACATCAAATGGTAAGTTTTATTTATTTTTTACAGGTAGTATTTAGTGCTCTTGGGTAGGTAGGGGTTTATTCCTTTTTTTTTGGGTGGGTGGGAGTGACTTGGGGACCCCTAGTCAACTGATGAGGTTCACTGGCGAAACGTGCACGTCGGGGGCTCTGGACACATACTGACACATTATTGGTGTCGGCACCTAACTCTCTGCTAAATTACCGACATCACGTTCATTCATGTCCAGCATCTCAGGAGTGCACATTGGAGACTCTTAACACTAGTTTTGTGTACTCTGTACATACATTATTTCTCTTTCTTTTTCCTTTAGCACAGGGATACAGATATGGTAAAGCTAAAGAGAAGTATAGATAGACCCAATAGTATATCTCCCAACTCCCATCATACTGTGCCACCTTAGCAGCACAAAAATCTTCCCCTCATTAAACAAACCGGTAGCTGAACTGTCTAGATGGCTTGGCTACCTATCTAGATGGTAATAAAATCATACAGCAGGGTGGCTAGATCGGGATGAAAGTAAATATCACGGCTGCAGTAAGTCCCCTGTCAACCCCCTCCACCCTCTGCTACTAAATGTCCCTATAGAATGTAAGCTCGTTTGACCAGGGTCCTCTCCAACCTATCGTTCCTGTAAGTTTTTTGTAATTGTCCTATTTATAGTTAAATCCCCTCCCATAATATTGTAAAGCACTACGGAATCTGTTGGCGCTATATAAATGGTAATAATAATATACGGCAGAGCTCTCAGAAACTCTGCAGAGTGTGAGTTAGTCTTTTAATTGGCTTTTTTACAGTATATCTATGTTAATATTTATATGACATATTGCACTCACTGTTTTGTATTTTATTTCTCCCGAGGGCTATATACACATCGCCATAACATTGGAAAACCTGTATGTATGTATGTATATTCCATAACTACATTTTACTCACTTTGAATACCTTTCTGGCGCGGTTTACCACTCTGTTATTGCACTTTTGGTCACTATTAGCAGGTATTGGGAAATCCTGCTGGTTCACTGCTGCCTTAGATCTAGTTATTTTAGTGAGCACCTACACCCTACTTTCTGATACACGTATATAAAATGTAACAAGGGTTTCACATTCATCAATGGGTTATTCATTAAACTTTTAATTATATGAAGTGAAAATCTAAATTGTGTAATTTAGACCACAATACCGGATTTGAAAAACCCAACTTAGCTATAGTAACAGCTTGACAATTGTAGCCTAATTTGTGGAATTATTAAATTATTAGTTTAGTGGATAACACTGCCTTTTTCAGAGTCTTTCGTGTCCTGGTGTAAAACTATATCCAACGCAGAGTGCACTCATAGGATTGAGGACTAAACAAAATAACATTTATTTAAATCAGACATGCAGCAGCATTCAGTCAATGTTTCACTCCCATTACTGGACTATTCAAGGTTATGGGGATGAAACGTTGATGTAAGATGTTGCACATCTGATTAGAATAAAGCAGCTCTTTTGTTTATTTTTAACCCCTTCAGGATGGAGTCAATAGTGCACGTTCTGATCAAAACAAAACGTAAACAAAAGCTGGAATTTGCGCTATATGTCTGTCCAACCGTAATTCACCGCTGTCACATTAAGTGCCCCCACACTTATTATATATCATTTTGTTCAGGAGAAACAGGGCTTTAATTTATCATTAACTATTCATATATGGAACATAATTTATTATGACTAAAATTTAAAAACAAAATTGAGAAAATAAGATTTTATTTTAAATTTGTATTTCCGTCTGACATTTTAGCTGTTAATGTCATAATACTGTTAGGTTTTACTGCAAAAAAAATGCACATATTTGTAATCAGCGATGTCTCACGAGTACAACAGTACTCCCCATTAACAGGTTTTATGGTGTTTTGGAAAGTTACAGGGTCAAATATAGAACGTTCCATTTTCAAATTGAAATTTGCCTGATTAGTAATGTTACCTTTGAGACAGTGTGGTAGCCCAGGAATGAGAATTACCCCCATAATGGCATACCATATGAAAAAGTAGACAACCCAAGGTATTGAAAGTGGGGTATATTTAATCTTTTTTAGTAGCCAGTCACAAACACTGGCCAAAGTTAGCGTTCATATTTGTTTTTGTGTGAAAAAAGCAAAAAACTAATATTTGGCCAGTGTTTGTGACTAAGTGGCTACTAAGAAAGACTGGACATACCCCACTTGCAATACCTTGGGTTGTCTACTTTTGCAAATGGTATGCCATCATGGGGGTAATTCTCATTCCTGTGCTACCATCCGCTCTCAAAGGCAACATAACCAATCTGGCAAATTTCAATGTCAAAAAAACGAAATGCAAGCCTTATATTTGACTCTCTAACTTTCCAAAACACCATAAAACCTGTACATGGGGGGTACTGTTATTCTCGGGAGACTTCACTAAACACAAATATTAGTGTTTTAAAACAGTAAAACATATTACAACAATAATGTAGTCAATAAAAGTGCCGTTCGTTTGTAAAAAATGCAAACAACTTCACTTTTACTTAAAATATCATCGTTGTAATACAATTTACCAGTTTTAAACATTAATATTTGAGTTCAGCAAAGTCTCCCGAGTAAAACAATGCCCCCTATGTACAGGTTTTATGGTGTCTTGGAGAGTTACAGGGTCAAATATAGTGCTTGCGAATTAAATTCTCTGCACTTTCTCCCTGTGTTGTCAGGCATGTCAATAAACTTTTAATTAATCAAATCACATAATTATGTTCAAAGATTACTTAAATATACACGTAGAATTTTAATATATATGCATTTATAGGTATTTAAATTCTACGTGTATACTAATGTAATCTTTTATGTAATTATATGTATTATATCTCTCTCTCTCTCTCTCTCTCTCTCTCTCTCTCTCTCTCTCTCTCTCTATATATATATATATATATATGCGGTTATTTGTATAGATAGATATATATATATATATAGAATGTCATTCTAAGTGTATTTTGTTACCAATATATATATATTAATAACAAAATACAGTTAGAATGAAATTGCATATGAATATATAATTTATATTAAATTTTGTTTCAATATTTTATTTCTTTATTTTATTTATTATTGTAATTATACATATATATATATATATATATATATATATATAATATATATGTAACGTCATTCTAAGTGTATTTTAATATTAATATATATACTAATATTAGTATTAAAATACACTATGTATGACGAGATATATATAAGTACGCAGGACCTCCCATGGGCTTAAGCCGTTACGGCGTTCTATGTCGCCGCAACGGCTTTAAAGCCGCAACGGCATAGAACGCCGTAACGGCGTTAAGTTCTCCTTCTTGTGGGGTAAATAATTTTCATTGTTTTGGCTTTTCCCATCTGTATATCTGTCACAGGTGGCGTAATTAATATTAGTGCTGGTATAAAAAACTTCCAGGGCTGCTTTTTATTCCCAGTCCGGCCCTGGTCCCAGATATAAATATGTCCTCTGATGAGAAATATTTCCTGTAAAGGGGATGTGTGAGATTTTCTTACCCAGAGAGCCGAGGGTCTGGTAATTCTCTACCACTAGATCCCTGTTAAGTTTCTTCTCTTCTTGATTTAAACAGTCCGACTCCTTCGCAGAGAAGTAAATGTCCTCTTTCTCAAACTCAGATTGTTCCTAAATAACACATTATTTACATTGTTACAAATCAGTGTCCTCCAATATAACACACAGCATATTTTCTCTCTCTCCCTCTACCCTATAGGTTATACTTCCTTCCTTAATATAATCGTCTGATTAGTAGCAGCATTGTATTAATGATCCAGTATCCTCTCTGCTGTGCACACCCTCCCCCCCACCACCTCCATGCTGCCACTTTACTTTTCTCCCCATGTGAAAGGGTTAAACATTCTCCTTTGCTGCAATGCCCCTCAAGGACACTTCTTGAGTCAGCAAATATATCCTGCTACAGTGTTCCCAGCTAAAGCCATTTCTGATCAGTTTAGCATTAGGTAAGCTTTGTAGATAAGATAAGAACACAGTAAAAAGTAACCCCCTCCTTATGATGTAGAAAATGTGACCCCCCCTCATTATGATAAAATAATCTTGTTCTGCAATACAATTGCACACAAAAAAGAAACTTCTTTTTGCAAGCATTTATTAACCATTGGTTTGTTCTAATAATTTGGTATGCTTAGAACTTCCATCTGGTTTAGAGTAGTATAAAAGGGTGGGTCCCTCCAGATATAGTGAACGTAGGAAATATCCCAACACCATGTTACTGTAATTATCTAATTAGTGTTAACATTGCATTAAGGATCCAGTATCTTCCATGCGGCACACTCCCCTTCTCTTTCCATGTTGCCCCCCCCCCCTCTTCTTCTCTCTCTGTCTCTCCATGTTGCCCCCTCTTCTTCTTCTTCTCTCTCTCTCCATGTTGCCCCCTCTTCTTCTTCTTCTCTCTCTCTCCATGATGCCCCCTCTTCTTCTTCTCTCTCTCCATGTTGCCCCTCTTCTTCTTCTCTCTCTCTCCCCCTCTTCTTCTTCTCTCTCTCCATGTTGCCCCTCTTCTTCTCTCTCTCATGTTGCCCCCTCTTCTTCTTCTCTCTCTCTCATGTTGCCCCCTCTTCTTCTTCTCTCTCTCTCCATGTTGCCCCTCTCTTCTTCTCTCTCTCCATGTTGCCCCTCTTCTTCTCTCTCTCTCTGTGTTGCCCCTCTTCTTCTTCTCTCTCTCATGTTGCCCCTCTTCTTCTCTCTCTCCCATGTTGCCCCTCTTCTTCTTCTCTCTATGTTGCCCCCTCTTCTTCTTCTCTCTCTCTCTCCTGTGCCCCTCTTCTTCCTCTCTCTCTCCATGTTGCCCCTCTTCTTCTCTCTCCATGTTGCCCCCCTCTTCTTCTCTCTCCATGTTGCTTTCCCCTCTCTCTCTCTCCATGTTGCCCCCTCTTCTTTCTTCTCTCTCTCTCTCTCATGTTGCCCTCTTCTTCTTCTCTCTCTCATGTTGCCTCCTTTCTTCTTCTCTCTCTCTCTCTCATGTTGCCCCTCTTCTTCTTCTCTCTCTCTCCATGTTGCCCCTCTTCTTCTTCTCTCTCTCTCCATGTTGCCCCTCTTCTTCTCTCTCTCCATGTTGCCCCTCTTCTTCTTCTCTCTCTCTCTCCATGTGCTCTTCTTCATGTTGCCCCCTCTTCTCTCTCTCTCCATGTTGCCCCCTCTTCTTCTTCTCTCTCTCTCTCTCCATGTTGCCCCTCTTCTTCTTCTTCTCTCTCTCTCCATGTTGCCCCTCTTCTTCTTCTTCTCTCTCTCTCCATGTTGCCCCTCTTCTTCTCTCTCCGTTGCCCCTCCTCATGTTGCCCCCTCTTCTTCTTCTCTCTCTCTCTCCATGTTGCCCCTCTTCTTCTTCTCTCTCTCTCCATGTTGCCCCTCTTCTTCTTCTCTCTCCATGTTGCCTCCTCTTCTTCTTCTCTCTCTCTCCATGTTGCCCCTCTTCTTCTTCTCTCTCTGTTGCCCCCCTCTTCTTCTTCTCTCTCTCTCCATGTTGCCCCCCTCTTCTTCTTCTCTCTCTCTCATGTTGCCCCCTCTTCTTCTTCTCTCTCTCTCTCCATGTTGCCCCTCTTCTTCTTCTCTCTCTCTCTCCATGTTGCCCCCTCTTCTTCTTCTCTCTCTCTCTCATGTTGCCCTCTTCTTCTTCTCTCTCTCCTCTCCATGTTGCCCCCCTCTTCTTCTCTCTCTCTCCATGTTGCCCCCTCTTCTTCTCTCTCTCTCTCCATGTTGCCCCCTCTCTCTCTCTCCATGCTGCCCCCCCCTCTCCCATGTTAATGTACTAGTCTGATTATTGGCAGCATTGTATTACTGATCCAGTATCCTCCATGCTGCTCAGTAATAACTGAATGGCTGTATTACCAGGTCACATGATGCTCCAGGGAGGTCACTGAGGACAATACTAACCTCCTGATCTGGAACCAGGAATAATCCCAATAAACACCATGAACCCCGAGCCTCACACTCTGCTCCCACCGGCTCAGCACGGCGCAGCTCAATGACGTCACTGATGGCAATGCCGAATACAGTGAGAAGGGGGCGGGGCCTGGTAAGCAGCCTATGGAAGGAAAGCTTCATTTGGGAAAGGAAATGACATCACGGAGCGTGAACCACCCGGCGCCATGTTGGATGAGGGCAAAGCTCTTTTTACTCACTTCCATTAATCATTAGTACATTAACATGGGAGAGAGGAGGAGAGTGGGGGCAGCATGGAAGATACTGGATCATTAATGCAATGTTAACACTCATCAGATAATTACAGTAACATGGTGTTGGGATATTTTCTGTGTTCACTATACCTGGAGGGAACCACACTTTTATGTTACACTAAACAAGATGGAACTTCAAAACATACCAAATTATTAGAACAAACCAATGGTTAATATATGCTTGCAAAGAGAAATTTTTATTTTGTGCAATAATATTGCAGAGCAAGATTATTTTATCATAATGAGGGGGTTTACATTTTCTATATCATAACAAGGGGGTTCGTTCTTTTTACTGTGTTCTTATCTTATCTACAAAGCTTACCTAATGACAAACTGATCAGAAATGGCTTTAGCTAGGAACACTGTAGCAGGATATATTTGCTGACTCAATAAGTGTCTTTGAGGGGCATTGCAGCAAAGGAGAATGTTTAACCCTTTCACGTGGGGAGGGGATGCGTAGCAGAGAGGATACTGGATCATTAAAGGACCACTGTAGTGCCAGGAAAACATACTCGTTTTCCTGGCACTATAGTGCCCTGAGGGTGCCCCCACCCTCAGGGACCCCCTCCCGCCCGGCTCTGGAAGGGGAAAAGGGGTTTAAACTTACCTTTTTCCAGTGCTGGGCGGAGAGCTCTCCTCCTCTGATCCTCCTTCTCTCCTCCCCGTCGGCTGAATGCGCACGCACAGCAAGAGCTGCGGGCGCATTCAGCCGGTCACATAGGAAAGCATTCATAATGCTTTCCTATGGACGCTGGCGTGCTCTCACTGTGAAAGTCACAGCCACTTCATTAAGCTGAAGTGGTCTGGTCCTTTAATGCAATGCTGCTACTAGTCAGAAAATTATATTAAAGGAACACTATAGTCACCTAAATTACTTTAGCTAAATAAAGCAGTTTTAGTGTATAGATCATTCCCCTGTGATTTCACTGCTCAATTCACTGTCATTTAGGAGTTAAATCACTTTGTTTCTGTGTATGCAGCCCTAGCCACACCTCCCCTGGCTATGATTGACAGAGCCTGCATGAAAAAAAAAACTGGTTTCACTTTCAAACAGATGTAATTTACCTTAAATAATTGTATCTCAATCTCTAAATTGAACTTTAATCACATACAGGAGGCTCTTGCAGGGTCTAGCAAGCTATTAACATAGCAAGGGATAAGAAAATCTTAATTAAACAGAACTTGCAATTAAGAAACCTAAATAGGGCTCTCTTTGCAGGAAGTGTTTTTGGAAGGCTGTGCAAGTCTCATGCAGGGAGGTGTGACTAGGGTTCATAAACAAAGGGATTTAACTCCTAAATGGCAGAGGATTAAGCAGTGAGGCTGCAGGGGTATGTTCTATACACCAAAACTGCTTCATTAAGCTAAAGTTGTTCTGGTGACTATAGTGTATAACCCAAAGAGAGGGTAGAGGGAGAGAGAAAATATGCTGTGTGTTATGTTGGAGGACACTGATATGTAAATAATGTGTTTATTTAGGAACATCTGAGTTTGAGAAAGATGAATTTTTTTTCTCTGCAAAGGAGTCGGACTGTTTAAATCAAGAAGAGAAGAAACTTTACAGGGATCTAGTGGTAGAGAATTGTTAAGACACTCTCAGCTTAAATGAGTGAAACCGCCATTTAGGTGATCTTCCCCCTTCAAGACACCGGCTCTGCTGTGTGGACCGCCAAACTCCTGAACGGAGTGTAAGGGAATACTTCACACTCCCGAACAAAGAATCAGCCGAACTCCTACTCCGCTAAAATAGGCGAAATAACACTTCCAAGTATTAATCCTCCCAAACACGAGACCAAGCTCCGTCTTGAGGGTAAAACAGGATTCTGCTTTAATGAGGGCTACCTGCCCGGTATTTATGCAGGTCTCCCACTGGGACAATTGAAGTACAGTGGCCAATCACAGTGGCTCAGGCATAAACACTCCCCTTTGTACAGGTAAATCCCTCCACTCTACCCTTTAGATAATTGAGAAAAAATCCAATTATCTCCAGGGATAGAGGCAAATCGCCATTTTATATAACATAATAAAAACACATAAAAATCATTAACTGTGAAACTACCGAATGCTTCTAGTTCATGTAACGCATCCCCAGATAGCCTGTGACACCACACAGTTCAATCGCCATGGAGTCAAAGTCTTTCACATTGCTCTTTCGGTATACGATTGACTCCATGGGATGACTATCTGGGTTACGTTCATTCGTGTAATAAACCTCCCGAACGGACCGGCGTTCTCATGCCCGTGGATAAGAAGGGCGGTCGGTAGAAAAAGTGTCCGTTTTTAGTTCCATAAGTTCTTCGTCGAACACCGCTGTTCATTCGCGTGTTTAAAATGGCCGAACGACGACCACCCTGCATACGGTTAGAATGAAGAGGTGTCTGCGGTTCACTACAACGTTCTATTTGATGGCAATAGGCAGCAGCACACTTCTCTTCTGGGTGGCCGTCCGTTCGGTAGTTTTATTCGGTATATTTTGCAATAAACGAACAGGCGCATACGGGCAGGTAATTCCTCGAATGTAGACAAAACAGACGAACCAGCAAAAGGGGATTTAGACAGATGGATCTGTCACACGGCTCCCTCCTTGTGGGACACAACGGCAGACCCGGCTTGACCCTTTGGCGGGTCATCTTGTGGATGACCAGACTAGGAGGTGGTAGGGATGTCAGTTTGCCGGGACAATCCATCAGCATTCCCGCTCAGCTTACCGGGTCGGTAGCTGACGCTGAAGTTATACGGTTGTAAGGCTAAACTCCACCGCAGCAGTCGACCATTATCTCCTGAGACCTGGTTAAGCCAGACGAGGGGATTGTGGTCCGTTATAAGGGAGAATTCCTGTCCGTATAAATAGGGGCTCAACTTCTTCAGTGCCCAGACCTGGGCTAAACATTCCTTCTCCACTGCCGCATAGCTGACTTCCCGATGTAGTAACCTTCTGCTGAGATATGTGACAGGGTGCTCTCCTCCGTCCTCCTCGACCTGGCTCAGCACAGCCCCCAGTCCATACATGGAGGCATCTGTATGAACAAGAAAGCGTTTGTTAGGAACTGGGGCAGCCAGGACGGTGGCATTCACAAGAGCCTGCTTCAGGGCCTGAAACGCGGCTTCACAAGCTGGAGACCACAGGACCTGCTTAGGTAAATTCTTCTTAGTCAGGTCAGTCAGGGGCTTGGCGATCGTGCTGTAGTCAGGGGCAAAATGTCGGTAGTACCCTGCCATCCCCAAGAAGGCTAGCACTTGGGTCTTAGTGATAGGTGTGGGCCAGTTAGCCACTGCCTCTACCTTGGCTGGCTCTGGCCTCTGACTCCCACACCCCACTCTTTGACCCAGGTACTGTACTTCAGCCATACCTAGATGGCACTTCTCTGGCTTCAGCGTCAGGCCAGCAGCCCGAATCTTATCCAGCACTACTCCTACATGGACAAGGTGTTCCTCCCAGGACCCACTGTAGATCGCAATGTCATCCAGGTATGCACAAGCAAATTCCTGGAAGCCATCAAGGAGTCTATCCACCATACACTGAAAGGTAGCCGGGGCATTTTTTATCCCGAATGGCATGACCTTAAATTGGTACAGGCCAAACGGGGTGACAAATGCCGAATTGGGGATAGCATCCTCGGCCAGGGGAATCTGCCAGTAGCCCTTACACAGTTTTATGGTGGTCAGATATTGTCCTCTGGCAATACGATCTAACAATTCGTCTACCCGGGGCTTCGGGTAAGCGTCAGTGGTGGTCCGCTCATTGAGTCGCCTGTAGTCCACACAGAACCGGGTGGTCCCATCTTTCTTATGTACCAGAACTACAGGCGAGGCTATCGGAGTGTTCGATGACCAGAAGCTGGGTCATCTCCTGTATCTCCTTCCGCATTCCTTCTCGGACTGCTTCAGGGATACGGTAGGGTGGCTGTCGCACAGGGGTCTGTCCAGGGGTCTGTACCTTATGTACAGCTAGGATAGTGTAGCCGGGCTCTTGGGAGAATGTTGCCTGCTTCTCCCACAGCAGCTGCCTTGCCTGTACCTTTTCTGTGGGCTTAACCGAGCCCCTAGCTGTACAAGACTAGTGAGGTCAGCCTGGGGGTCCTTCTCTAATAAATCGGGCAGGGGTAGATTCTCTGGGTCGTCTGCAGCAGGGGCACACACTGCAGCGACATCCTCTGGTCTCTCCTGATACTCCTTCAGCATTTTCACATGAAAGGATCGCTGAATCCTCTCATCTGCAAAGCTGGCTATAAGGTAGGTAGTATCACAAACCTGAGCTAGTACTTTATACGGGCCCTGCCAAGATGCTTGCATCTTGTTTGTCTTCACAGGCTTAAGCACCAATACTTTCTGCCCAACCTGGAAGACCCGCTGCCGGGCACCCCGATCGTACAACCTCTTCTGTCTCCCCTGGGACGCCTGGAGATTCTCCCTTACCATCAGGGACAGTTTCTCCATGCGGTCCTGGAGTTCCAGGACATATGGTACTATGGGGGTTCCTTCCTTCTCTGTCTCTCCCTCCCAGTGTCCTCTAATGAGATCCAGGGGTCTGCGGACCCTTCTCCCATAGGTAATTTAAATGGAGAGAACCTAGTAGATTCCTGGGGCACCTCTCTGTATGCAAATAGTAGATGAGGCAGGAATCGCTCCCAGTCTCTGCAGGTGTCAGTAAAGGTCCTCAACATCAGCTTGAGGGTGCCATTAAAGCGCTCGCAGAGACGGTTAGTCTGTGGGTGAAAAGGTGAGCTAAGCAGCGATTTAATGCCGCACACCTTCCACAGCTGCTGGGTGAGCACAGCGGTAAACTGAGTTCCCTGGTC